ATAATACAAAATGCATCTCCATTTGAAAATAGGATTATGGATCACTAAGCACAACTCAATCGCTTTTCTCCTTACTCTAGGTAAGATGATTCTGACACCTCTGATTTGACACAAAAAATTGCAAGTCCATGTTGTTGTTACATTTGTCCTTGCAGCATGTACTCCAGGCACAACACACCTTTGAATTCTCTCCAAACTCTCGATTTCAATTCCCACAAGACTGCAGTTCTTGTTGAATACTTTTTTTCCTTCCACTCAACTTTCTGTTAGTATGTTCGAATACAAGACTCTGTGAAGACCCAGCTTCTTCAACAATAACCCTTCGTAGCTTCCTTCCTCGTTGAGTTTGTAAGTGACTCTCTCCTAGACAGCATAACATTTTTGTATCAACATTGTAGCAAAGCTGCAGCCAGTATCCATCATAATTACCAGTAATAAACACTTGCAGACGGAAGCGATTCTTACCTGGCCGTGTTGAGTAAAGGGTGCTGTGTCCCCACCAGCTTCCTGACGTGCATGGCCACGTTGCTGAGCTCGTCGCTGAGCAGGCAACGCAGACTCATGAACGACGTGGGATACCCGACGATCTTCTCGGCGTCCGACACCACTTTGCTCCAACTGGAGGAGGAGTCCGAGCTGGAGAACAGGCTGAGACCTCTCAGTCCACGGACGGACACGGACACCCAGCGGGTCAGGCTCGACCCCGGAGCTGGAAACATGTTGTTATAACCTCTGAACTAAAATCGCGTTGCTGCTTTATCTGAAACACTTCCGGGCTTCTCTGCTTCTGCGCATATTTAAAGCGACCTACCGCCGTCCACTAGCTGCTGTGAAAAGCAATCAGCACCCCCCAAAAAACGCTAAAAACACGGGTTTAACATTAAGAGCGTCCAGGGCTGACTCTCAAACAGGGCGCCGCCATCTTTACGTACGGAAGTCCTTACGTCAGGAAACGCGACACCCCCAGCACGACTTCCGGGAAAAACAAAACAAAACCACAGGTTAGTTTCAGGTATGTTTTTCAAATTTTAATTTATAATTTATAATATTACATTGGAATTTTATGTTGTCCAACACAAAGGGAAGTGAGGATAATTGAGGATACACTGTGCTTAGTGGTAATAAAGTCATAACACAGAAGATTTCACATTTTTGTATTGAGGGCGTGAAAATATAAAATTGAATAAAATAAGATAAAATTAAATTAAATCAACATAAAGGAATAATAAAGATAATAAAAATACAGATTGTGCATATTGTTAATATTGTCCTTATTGCAATAAAGTGTGAAAGGAAACATTGGCAGCATAAACAACAGCTGTAAAAGCAATAAAATGTACATTATTATTATTATTATTATTATTATTATTATTAACCTTTATCTCACCAGGAAAATCCCCTTGAGATTAAAATGTATAAGAAAGTGATGTTTAAAACCTTAATTTTCACAGTCAGCAACAGTTAAAGTTCACTGACAAACATTGTATGTGCTTTCATGTAAGTCAACAAGTTCAGAAAGACATAGGTGTCATCATTAAGGGATTAAAACCTTTAAAACCTGTGATAAATCTTAAAGCTCTATCATAAACAGTATCCAGTCAAATTTAAGAGACACATGCATGTATAAAATGTCTTGATAGTCCATCACAGACATAAAAGTGGCCTAAACTAATTGCTTTCTAACCTTAAAAGATAAAAAGAATCTAGTCTTGATATAAAATTTCAGCTTCTTCATCAGCTTTTGAATGTGGGGAGTAAGAAACATTTTGACCCATTTGTGCTAAACATCTTCAGCAATATTTAAAGTGCAGTGAGTAAGTGTGGCTGTGAATAGAGGGAGGCATGGAGGAGAGGGATGGCTTTCAGAGCTCTTGGAAAGATGCTCAGTCACAGCTTAACAATCTAACTGACTGTTCAACTGGATATATATAAGGAGAATAACCGGACATGCAGCACACACAGGAAGCTGCTTTGGTCAGATGAGAACATATTTAAATTTGTGGCCTACATTCAGAACTCCATCTATGGAGAAAAACTAAAACTCATTAACCTGAAGACATCATTCCTGTTGGAAAACGTGGTGAAGCATTACTATGTAAAGATGCTGAGAAGATTAGAAGATTGAGCAAAATTAAGACAAAAAAGCTAATAGATTCTGCCAAAGACTCATGGCAAGGGCAATGGTTCACCTTCCAGCAAGATGATGACCAGAAACAAATGCAAATATACAGTAAAATGGTTTAGCCTTGTAGAGCTGTACTTTGTAACTTTTCACAAAGCTGCGCACATTTTTAAAAGTGTGTGTAAATTGCCAGCTCAGACTTCAGATTTTTTATATTGAGCTAAAAATTATTAAACAGGCTTTATTTAATTGGTCCGAAATCCAAACAATCCTGTCTACAACTTAAGCCCACTTCCAAGGACAACGGATAAGATAAAACCTGCAGAATTTAAGGTCAACAAAGGTTAATAATTTCAATTAACAAAATTAAATTCAAAGTTCCTGAAATAAATGTGCAGATAAAATGGTAGCTACTGATTATTTGTGCATTTGTTAAACTGAATGTGAACAACATTAGTTCCAAAGTTATTTATGAAAGTTTATAAGTGTATTGTCAAAGCATTTTCTCTACACGTCTCTACACTTTACATCTTACACCATTTTTATACCAACTGACAAAAATCTCCTTTCCAGTAAATACCATTTTTAACCAAACAGTCCAAGTTATGAGAAGTGAAGCTCCTCACCTTTCAGTTCCTGTAACACAATAACTGTGACAATATAATATTTCCAGTGTGTTGGTGAATGTCCTCGCCGAAACAATGCTTTTATTGACTCTCTCTGCGTCTGCTTGTTAGTGAAGTGTCAAGGACATCTTACAAGACCGTCTGCTTCCTCCACTCAAAAACCAAACTATTAAAAACGAATTGATTCATTCTCTAAATAATAAATGTTTGCTGCACTCTTTCCATGTTTGGGTAATAGAATAGATGCACTTAATTTATCCCAGACAGAGTAATGTGTTGCTGGATCTACAGAAATGCTATAAACAATGTCTGGTGAGACACAAGTGACACTAATTACTAAAGTACAAAGTCTTGAAAGAGCAGTATAATAATTATTGCTTTAATTAGAGTTAAAATAGTTGAACAAAAATTTTGTAAAGAAGTCGTCTGTCAGAAACTGGAATCAGAGTTACAGTCAATTTTTTTTTTGTGAAAGGCCTGATTTAGCAACGATCTCCTGTACTTGCTGCCAAGGCAGCAACGTTATAGCCGATTGCTCTAACAATGGTCAGTGAAATGTTGAAAGTCTGGGATATTACTTTATAACATAGGACCCCTGCATTAGCTGTAATCCTAAAGTCAACTGCTTGTTCTTGATTTTATTTTTGGGTAACAGAGGAAGAGGAATTAAATATAAATGCATGCAAGACTTTTCAGATTCTTATCTAGGATATAAAATCCAACCAGACTACAATAATGTTTGTGGTTGTTACATGACAAAATGTGGAGGGGAAAAAAAGTGAATACACGAATACTTTGGAAAGGCAGTGTATTAATCTGCATTCCGTGTTTTCTAAATAAAAATATCCCCAATTTAATTTGAAGTGAATCAAGTGTCTGAGGCCTCTGAATGCAGGATCTTGTGATTCAGATGCTGTCCTGCTGCGGGTTTTGCGAGCGATGTGAAGAGTCATCTCACCCTGACCCTGCATCACGGTTCACAGCTCCCGCCCCTGCTGATTTTCCGCCTGAAATGGGTGTCACTTTGCCATGAGCAGCCTCATCCAAAACTCTCAGAGGTTTTCCTCATTGTGATTCAAAGGGCGACGTGCGGCAGGAGCAGGTAAATTCATGCACAAAGCATGGAACATTTATGAAAAGCCTCTGGTTCCTGTGCCATTTGACAATAAGGCAATACTTCAAGATCTGCTGTAATGTATGGAGAAGCTAACTTCTGTTGTTGCACTGTAAAAAGGAACCTCAGGGGTTATCACATTAACAAAAGAATATCATGTACTGTTAACTAAATAATTACATGTTTGAGCCAAAAACATGATACAATCATGTTGCATAAACAAGATATTCCACAACTTCAACGTTTATAAAATTGAATCATGTTGAGCGAACATGATTCATTATAGTCAGACCGATCCTATGCTGAAGACCACGAGTGAGATCACGCGATATCACGCAAGTTCACGCAAGATTACGGGAAATCACGGGATATCACGCGAGAATACGCAAGACAATCGTTTTTTTTCTCGCAAATGGAATAAAATGTATTCAAGTGTGAGATAACGTGATTCAATTACGTCAGCTAGATCTTCCGCCAAAAAAAAAGAACGTCGGGGCGTATTACATTAACAAAAAAATATCATGTACCTTTCACACAATAATGTTGGGTTTGAAGCGAAAACGTGATAAAATCATGTTGGATAAACAAGATATTCCACGACTTCACATATATAAAATTGAATCATGTTGAGCTAACATGATTCATTATAGTTAGACTGATATTGTGCTGACAACGAGTGAGATCACGGGATATCACGCGAGAACACGCGAGACAATCGGTTTTTTCTCTCAACTGGACTAACGTGATTGAATGACGTTATCTCAACTTGAATACATCTAATTCCTCAAGCTCCCAGGCCTCTACCAGGCCTGGGAGCTTGAGGGTCCTGCGCAGTATCTGCGATGCTAACAATTTATATATATATATATATATATATATATATATATATATATATATATATATATATATATATATATATATATATATATATATATGTGTGTGTGTGTGTGTGTTTGGTTTTTTTTTATTCAATATCAATATTTGTCAAAGTTAATCTAATAAAAAAAAAACACAGTGACGTCAGTTCCAAAGCGCTATTGTGTCAGACTCATCTCCCGCTGAAGAGGATCCAGCGACATCAAGAGATTACGGAAAATCACGCGAGATAACTGGCTTGTTGGGTTTTTTCAAGGGCAGAGGGAGATTCCTGGCGTGCATCTACTTAATTTGAAGAAGGTAAGAGTCAAACTATTTTCATCTAAATCCATATAAAAATATGTAACTTAAAATTTCTCTACCATTTGCACCATTTTCTACTTGTTCCATACTTGTGTCACATTATTTCATGTTCTGTAGATTAAGTCGGTTAGGTTAAGGCAGATAGCATTTTGTTTACATTTATCGCCGCACCATGTTAGGTACATTCTGTGCGAAAAAAGTCTGCAGAGCCATATGTAGTGTACAAAGCTGCTGCCAGAGACACAAATGGACCCCAGAAATGTCACAGTTTTGCTCCTCCTGAGCTCCCTGGAGGTTTAGTGGATTTTTAACACACTGATCTAACATCAGTCTATTTCTAACTATTTTAATTCTATTTCAGTAATGTTACTATGGAGGTAAATGTAGATACACACACACTTTGGTACCTTTCTATCATCATCGAGATTCTTAATTAATTATGGTAATAAAAAGTCCTACATTTCAGTCGGTGAAACCTGCAGAAAGCATTGCTTTCTGAGCTTTGTTAAATACCTGTTAGTTATGGATTTCTAGTATATTTTGTCAGGCTAAAACTCTCAATGGATTATCCATTATTACAGACTTGAGCTTTCTATTTTTTTTTCTTTAAAATACATATTCCTCTGCTGTAAAGATGTTGGGGTTTTTTGGACTCTTCTTTGTTGTCCCCAAATAATTGTAGCTCAGAAACAATATTGAAGTTCATTGGTTTTTTGAAATGTTGATGTTTTTTGTGTTGATTGTTTGTGCTCATTTTGACCTATGTTACCATTGCTTTCTACCATGTTCAATTCACCATTGTTCTGCACATATGTGCTTGCATGTGTCCAGTGGTTATATTCATGAGGCATTCAAGGGACTTGTACTAAAAGATACAACTCAGTTCAGTATGAATTGCATATTTTAATGGCTGAAAATATATCTGATCTCTTTCAGAACATCACCTGTCTGTAATCCACCTGCGTAAGTACTGGTCAAGGGGCTCATCGGCTATCAAGTTATAGATTTCAGTGGCTAATAGTAAGTTTTGCCAGATCTAAAGTGACTGAATGTAGTGTTAGAGAGCTTATAAAGCTAGGGTTCAGCTAAACATTTATTTGGCCAGTCTGTTTTATTTGTCTTTATTTGCGTGGGGATGTGGAAATGTAAGGAGTGTAGTCTCTCTCTGTCTCGTAGATATGACCTGTTAAAACATTTTACACTTAAACACCGGCATATGCGACGTTATCCATGCCCACACATAGACTGTCCATGTACTTGTAAGACATGGAATGCTTTGCATATTCATTTAAGTAGAAGGATATAGACTGTGTTGACCATTCTGTACTTTTCACATATTTCTTTGGTGATATATCCATGTCTTTATTTAAACATCTAACAGCTTCAGTTAGATGTTTAAATGAGATGTTAAACTCAATTTTAGTCATGGCATAATGAAGGGATACTAACAATTTTAAATATCTTTCAAATAGACTGCAAGCCACTGATCACTTTTGTTGTGACTTCCTTTGAATGTAGCTATGTTTTCAAGTGTGTGAACCTATACTGCTGGAGTTTTGAGATTGTTCTCATTGTTTTTTGATCTGCATATTCAGGAAGACACTGCTGAGGTCAGACGAGAGTGCATCCTCAAAGGTCTGTGTGTGTACCTAAATGAAGATCCAGAGAAGCTGGTGAGGGAGTACATGGTATGTTAAATTCTCTTTGTGTTTACAATAGAACTCCTAAGAGTTGTTAAAATACTTCACCAACTAAGGTCCATGAGTGACTCAATCAATGTCAGTCTAATTTATTTATTTAATTACATGTGAATTGTCTCCCCCCCAATACCCTTCCCTAACTCCCTTAGGACGTTGATGAATGAAATGGTCAAAGCCGAGACTGTCCTCGGAATCGTCATTTGAGCAGAGGGTGCAGAGGCTGCCGATGCACATCTGGATGTTGGGATTGTCCTGGAGGAGGTGGAAGTTATGAACAGCTTGGGCAGTGTATCTTCTGCAATAGTGATGCTGCTGCGACTTATCTACGCACTAAACTTGAGCTACCCTCAAGTTTAGTGCGTTCAGCACTCAACTTGCTCAGTAACTCAAGCATACCTTTGAAGTAATACAGAAAATAATAATGAAATTGGATGGAAAGAACTTATCAAAGAAAGCACAAGTTCTCAATATGAAACTCGCTGCTAAGTTGAGTAAAGTTTCATATGGAAAATGAGTGTTTAAAGTCTGCAGTAGAAAAGATTTATATTGTTACAGTTCTAAGTTGAGCAACTATACTGACATTTTTATGTTGTAAAGAATTGGCTGGGAAATGAAACTGTAACCTTTTTGTAGTTGTTTTTTTATTTCAATGTCCAACTCAGCTGTGTTTTGTGCTGTGTAAAAAGACGATGTATAACAATTCTGAAAATACAATTGTGTTGTACCTTTTCTAATTGTTGAGTGTTCTTAATACACTTTCACCTAGTGCTATCTTAAAATGCTTGATTAACGCTTGAAAATATGTCTTTGAATTAACGTCATGAAATAATGGAAAGGATTTCCACGATTAACTAGATTAACTAGCTGTCTTTTAGCATGAAGCATATTTGTTGAGCTAACTTGCTTTTAGTGAGTTGGACCTACTGAATCAGGTAGTGTGAAGGTACCACTGTAAAATAAGGTGGTTTCAACTAGATTTACATTCATCTTAATGAAGTAACATCAATGATTTGGTCCTAAACAATGCAGATTAGTTGGGCGGGCTGTATTGCATTACACTGGGTCACGCTATAGTAACTGAGTTAAAGGAACCTTTAAAGCATATGTTGAGTCAACACATTTCATTTGAATTTGAATAACCTTAATGAATGGAGTAGAGCCAACTCATTTGATTTACAATCATCCATTGCATTACCATAATTCTGGTTAAGCCAACATATTGGTTTAAATTAGAACAACCTTAATGAATTATGTTTTGCCAACTCATTTTATTTATATAAGAATAACCACAATATAATACGTTGAGCCAACATGTTTGATTTAGAATCACCCATTGAATCACCATTGTAACAAGTTGAGCCAACACATTTGCTTTACATTGGAATAATCTTAATAAATTAGGTTGACCTAACACATTTGCTTTAAATAGGAGTAACACAAGTACATGGTGCTGAAATAAAGCAAAGTAATCAGGTGGAAATCCTTTCCATAATGTTTTTATGTTCATCCAATGACTTATTTTTTTCAGTGTGGTGCAATCAATGACAATTTAGAATAAGTTGTTGAACTGAATTATCTTTTACTCTTCTTCAGCCCAAAACAATTTTTTAGAACTATGGAATTCACAATCTATGAACCTCCTGAAATATCTTTCCAGTAGCATCTCAATAAATAAAAAATATCGCTGATAATTTATTTCCTTAAGTCAACTTCAAACTGTCAATGTAATGTTACGTATAGTCAAATAATCAAGTGCATTTCTGTTTATTTTTGTGATTGTGAGTTACAGATACAATGGAAAAAAGAAAAAATTTAATTTGAAAAAATTACATGTTTTATCACGTATAACGGCTGACTAGGATTGCTCCTTTCCATTATTTTTTTTTTACGTTTATCCAAAGAGTTATTTTTTTGAGTGCAGTTTTTCAACAAGTCTTACTTATGGAAAGTTAAGTGAAAGGACAAAATGTGGTTAAGAAAGATGCATAAGCAAAAGAGAAAACAGTAACCTTTAGAAGATTAACAGCCTATTCAAGAGTTTGGTGGAGATTCACAAAGAGTTTCAGAAATCACTACACAGTCGGGTTTTCATTGTTTGTCTCTTACGTTAAGAAAGAGCCAGGGACAAAGTGAGAAACATCAGGGCTGAGCAGGAAAAGGACAGAACCGCTGCTCTATGTTTCAAAGTCTATATTTAGTCTAGAAAGTCTGGAAGAAGAAACAAAAGGTACAGAGTCTCCACAGCCAGCAATGATTTGGGGAGTCATGTCATCAAGTCTAAAGTCAGAGCAGTGATCTAAACCAGAAAATTAATGTTCCCTTTGCTGATAAGCTTTGTGGGGATACTGATTTCATTTTCCAGCAGAACTAAATGAATGCCTAAAAAAGTGAAAGAGCTAAAAAGCTATTCAAGCAACCTGACCTTCACTAAGATCTCCATGCAGTGCCGCATTGATGCAATAATTATTGTGAAGGAACCACCTGAGTTTATACGACGTAATACATTTAAATTTTTTCATGGTCTGAAATTTCTGTATTCATTTTTGCTTTATTTTCTAACTACCATTATATAACTTTTATTGGTCTTTTAGAACATTAAAATGCGCTGAGAATTTGATTGCAACTAGCTGTTAGTGGCAATCAAGGCTGAAATATATCCCCATGTGTGTTAATCTAAAATGTTCCAAGTTTAGCAGTATCTCTCAAATATTGTAACCTTTCTTTTATATTCCAATATGCTGAGATAGGTCTGGACTCCAGTCTAGGAGCCGTGGATGTACAGAAACCCAATAGGAAACTTTATTTGAACCTTGACTAAATGTTTGCTTTTTTTTGCGCCTCTCTCTCTAATTTTGGTAAGTTCTTATACATTAGTTAAAAGTTAAAAGGGACTTTGACCCAGCTGGATGACCTTAAGCGCTCTGAACGTGACGTTTGTTGTTTTAAAATGACAGCAGCAGACTCCGCTGAAGTGTCTCGCTGAGTGGTGTGCGTGTGCGCACCTGTTTGCAGCGCACGGATTGTGCGCTAAGTGGATAGGGCCGCTCTAATTGCGCTCCACGGGAAAGCGAGAAGAAATAGCCTACCTCTGATCACCAGCGCGTCATATAATGTTTCAGCCGACGCCCCTCCCCCTGTCTCGTTTTCTCCCCTCACTCAACCTCTCCTTTGACTCACAGAGGCGGCTTAGCACCGGCGCACGGACCGCGGAGGATACGGCGCAGAAGATGGCTGACTCGGCCGGGCACCGCGAACCCTCGGCGGGATCCCCGGCGTCACTCGGGTCGCTGAAGAGCCGCAGGACCTCCGGCGTGTGGCGGCTGTAAACAGCTGCCGCCGCGTCTCTCCTTTCGCTTTCTCTCTCTCTCTCACACACACACACACGCGCGCCCCCCCCTCCTCCTCCGCTCCCCTCCTCACCGCAAATATTGACAGAAGTATCAGAGAGAAAACATGGCAGAAATGGAAAAAGAGGGCAGACCTCCGGAAAATAAAAGAAGCCGCAAGCCCGCGCACCCGGTGAAAAGGGAAATAAACGAAGAGATGAAGGTAAAGAGGCTGTGTGCCAAGCTGCATGAGATTACGCGTGGAGTGTGTCTGTGTTCGAGCAATAGCTGCCCCTCAGAGGAGGATTTTGGCTGCACCTTTGTGCAATTTGCTACACAATAATCAAACTTTAATTTGGGATGTTTGTGCATTTTTTAATTATTATTTATTATTGTTTTTTCATGTGCTGAAATGGGAGGCTCTGCAGCCTCACACAATGGATGCGGCACACTGCTTCACTTTCACTATTAAGTTGAAGGGATACTCTGAGGGGGCAATGCCGCCTGTCATAATCACGCCGTTTGTGCGCCCTGCTTTTCATGGCTCATCCGGAGTAAATGGAAAATCCAGTGCGTCAGTGAAGGCGTCAGCAGTCTGTCTACTATTACTATTAATATTATATTACACATACAGGAACTGGGGAGCGCACCCAATGTGCATAATTAAGAGATCAATTTGGGGTAAACATCAGTCTATCCGTGGTGCTTTTGGAGCTCTGCGTGGGTTTGCATTATTTCGTGTGCGTGCGTCTGTTAGAGTGTTGAGCAGCTGCCCAGAGGCGTGTGATCCAGATGTGCGCCTCTTTACGCGCTCTGTCGAGGAGAGCACATTGTGTTCGGCCTCTCCCCTTTTTCCTCACATTGAGCCACGCGTTGTTTCTTTCAGTGGTTTGTGTTCTTTGACTCGGTGCACGCTGGGATATTTGAGCTCCATGCGGTTCATTGTGGAGCATGAAAACGTTCCTGGTATTTATGCGTGTGCATGCGTGTGTGCGTGCAAAGGCAACCCGCTTTGTCTGCATCCCCTCATTGTTTGTACACATTTGGCTGGAGACGCAGGAGCAGCCAGTGTTTCCACTGCTGTTGGGGATGGATGAGCAAGGTGATCACATCAGGAATAAATTCAGTGATGTGTTTTCATTTCATCATATTTTGGCTGCAAGATTAAATGGCTTTCATGTGTGTGTTGGGGTGCGTGTGTGTGTGTGTGTGTGTGTGTGTGTGTGTGTGTGTGTGTGTGTGTGTGTGTGTGTGTCATTCCCAAAGCGCATGTGTCACTGCTCATTTTCTAGTACTGTAAAAACAGGAATAAGTACTCTTCATTTCATTCACAGCGAGGATGTTTTGTTTTTGACCCCTTCGGTCAAAATGCATTTATAATCTCACAATTCCAATACCTGAAGCTGGAAAACATGTTGAAATATCTGCTTATATTTTTTATTTTTTGATGATAAAATGATTATTTTGTGGAATGAAATCTGATTATGATGACAGAGGAAGGATGCAAGTTGTTAATAGGTGGTGCTTATAAACCTTAAATAGAAATTGATACATTTTAAGGGTTTATTTAGAATGAAAATGACTGAAAAATAAGTTTGTATGCAGGTCTGACCCGGTATAGTCAGGTCAGTGCTGATTATAGCAGGACAACATTATGTATGTTGTCCCCATACATTATGATGAGGACAACTGCTTACTTTAATGTTGTCCAACATACATCTTCAAGAATAAGGCACAAAAAGTAATTACCAAAGAGATTGGCTGCTCACACAGGTCTGTTATCAGGCATATTTATGGGAAGTTGAGTGGAAGGAAAAACTGGATCGCAAACCAAACTGAGTTTAGGAGTTTTTTGGAGATTCACAAGCCATAGGGAGCATGTTGGAGTTAGAATTGCCACACAGACCTCAAATCTTAACTTCATAATTAAAATAAATCAACTAATAATATTCAAATTTGAGATGTATCTGCATATGTAGAGTGCATAGTAAAAATAAAGATGGATGCACAAAAAGGACAGCTTTTAAATTAAATAAAAGTCATATAACACCCCCTCCTTGGTGCAACATCTTTATCCGTCATCTGATCCATTTATATATTTTTCTTACTTAGTATTTTGTGTCCTTCACTGTACACCATACTCATGATCACTCCCTCCCCTTTTCCTGCTCTGACGTTGCTGATTACAGAAAGAAAGAATGGTTCCAACGGGATGTGTACTAGAGGGCTGGTTCTCTTTTCTTTCCTTTTGGGTGAAGTGTTTAAAATGAACAAAATATTCATGAGCTGTGTTTTTTTTTTTTTTAGCGCATGGAGGTCAGCTTGTGGCACAGCTCCCATTTTTTTCCCTCCCAGTTTTGTCATTGTTACAGATTCATCATGCACGCTGCAAAATGCTGGGAATGAAACAGAAGTCAAACTGATAATGATTCGTCACACTGACCATATGATTGCATGATGCCAGTCGTCACTCGGAGATGAAGTGCGCAGGTTTGCATTTTCTAAGGCTGTTAAATGATAGATTTCTTTTCTTTGCAACGCAAGTCATCATTCAAAATTCAGTTGACTGACATGTTTTATGATGTGTTTTGAAGCTGTGACATGTCAGTTAAGCATCTCATTTGATTGAAGCGGTGCAATTTGTCATTAGGTGTCACATCTGTTTGGATTTTTTCAGATAATTTTGTGAATCTTGGCCTCCTTCTCTTCACATTTTCTTTTGAAATTCTGTTTTTGACCAGGTTTCAGGTACAGGAAACAAAACAAAGGATAATTTGTCTCTAATGCTAAATATCCAATCTTTTCTGGGTTTTCTTTTTAGTTTCCTTAACACTTAACCCTCAAATGCCAGTTATTTTCTCTTGACTGCTCAGTAATCCCATTCTCATTCGGGTGGTGTGATTGGTGCAAAGTCAGTCCTTTGACTGACGGCCATGTTTCCAAATAGAAAACTTTTTTCCAGTTGACATAATAAACTTAACTTGACTACATTATTTTTGGAAAGTGTACAATTGATTCAACCTGTCTCTATGATTGAACTGAATCAACTGTAAACTGGTGAACTGATGCTATAAAAACATCCTGAATTTGAACTCAAAGATGTATACAGACCATAGACGGAGGGCTGCTCTGCACTGAGATGTCACCTGGCATCTTCTGGAACTCAGATTCATCTGTAAATTAATGCAGTGTGTAATCTGCTAGAAAATTGAATACAATTACTGGGAGAAAAATCTAAAAGTCACATGAACATGTTTTGAATATTTCAGAAAAGCCTCACTGAAAGCTTTAGCAAGCTGAGCGGTACTGTCAGAGATCGAGCAAGTCCCCTTTAAGTTTTGACAAAAGTTTCTCTGTAAGGTGAGGAAAAATAAGCTGTAAGTTGCGAAAATATAACCAGAAATGCAACCATTTAAAAGAAAAAGAAAAAAAAAGCAACATCTGAATCCCACATCAGCACACTTTAAGTTCTGAAAAGTTGCCTGTAAGTTCATTCAACTTTAATCTGTACATTTAAAAAATAAACTTGCAAGTTCAAAGAAAATATCCCCTAATTTCTAAGAATAACATTGAAAATTGCAAGAATGTAACTCGTATATTTCAGGCAAATTATTTTTAGGTTCAAGAAGCGTTCCTGGTTACTTCAAACAAGGTAACTTCCAGGTTTCTAGAAAACATCACGTAAGCTCCAAAATTAATGCCTTTAAATCTTGGAGAGTAAATCCTAAAACCAACAAAGTGACCTGTAAGTTCTGCAAAATAACCTTCAAGTTTAGTGTAATTCCTATATTATTGAAAAGTTAAGCAGAAGTTCTAGAAGTAAATTCCAGAAAATTAATTTTAAATTGAAGTAAGTTAATCAAAGGAAAAATATAATCATTTTGAAGGAATCTGCATGAAAGTAAACGTAATCTTTAAGTTTACGAAGCAGTCTGTTCATTTCAGACAAGTTTATCACATATTATGTATTGCTACTGACATTGTCTCTTTCACAACTACTGGAATTTAAATTCCTGTTTTATTAAATCACTAGCAGGGAATGATAGGCTAAAATAATAACTAGGTAAAGGTTAATTTGCTTTGCAGGGTTTTTGTTTTCGTAGCTTGCGAGGCTGCAGTTTGGTTCTTCATCCATCTAGAGGCTGAAAATACCGTAGAGTTATGGCAGTGAATCTAACACACTTGGAGAAAAAGGGTAACCTTGTGAACATGGATCAGTTCTAATAAACTGGGTGATAAACCCAATGTCCATTACAGCAGGATTCTGCCTCAATCCTTTTAGTAAATTTTATTGCATTGATTTTCTGAAGAAAGCTTTGATGCTCCTTTGCTAAAACCAAAACACAGCTCAGGTTTGCTTCCTTCTCGCAATTTAAATATATCTGACCAAATCTAGAGAAACGCTCTGATTCACAATGTGCCCTTTTTGAGGACGAGTACGTCCCCAACAAAGCAAACAGTCTGATAGAGTTTCCTTCATCTGGCTGCATGGGTAAAATAAGCCCCAGTGAGAAGTTGCGGAGCAGAAGGAGTGGGCATGGAGGGGATCGGAAAGGCCGAGAAGTGGGCCGAGGAACAAGGGGAGAAAGGAATGTATACAGAGCCGGGCTGGCTAAGCTGTAAAAACTGAAACCTGAGCGTCCCTGCTGGATCAAGTATCAAGAAAAGTAGAGGGGAATGAAAGCAGAGGAGAGGGAGAGGCGGCAGGGGAGTGGAAACCAGGGGGGAGCGACGAGGGAAAGTTGGCGTGTGGATTCTGGAATTTTATCACAGTGTTCTGTAACCTGCTCTGGTTTCCTACCGCAAGGTGTCGGTTTCCCACCATCATCATCACCACAAGCCCTGCTGGCTATGTTTGGGTCTGACTGAAGGGAAACAAAGGAGAAGCGTGTTGAAGCAGAATTTTATGTATTTATATCACACAAGTTTCTGAAAATACGACTGAGAAGTGTCAGTGTTTGAGCTGCGTCTGTAATAAAAGTATCTGTACCAAGAGATTAACACACCTCTGATGATCCAGAACATCATAATGAACTTGTTTTGAAAAGGTTTTCCTAACACAACGGTTTCACGGGAGTCTTATAGACTTGGGTCAGATTGCTCTGATTTATATTTTGTCAAGAAATATCTGTGATTTTTTTTTTTTAACCTTTTAAAAATAAGCGATAAAAACTTTTTCATTTATTGCACAATCTTGTATTAAAAACTTTAGAAAAAACTAGACTTTAATTTAAGAAAATTGATTCATTTGTTACAAAAACTGCATGTGAAGAAATGAAAACAATTCAAGAGGAGTGAGAGTGTTTTTAGTTTTATTTAGCTTTTTTAAGTGACAATGGAATGGAAGCATTTATTTAGACGTTCATAACTTCATCTTTCTCTGAGGTTTAAGTAAAATGTGAGACTGAGGCAAATTTCTCTCAGCCACTCTTCAGAATGGGAAAGACAGGAGAACTTGTCTTTTAAATAAGGCAAAGCTGTGAGACTTTTGCACTGTGGTTTTTGGGTCCATATGTTTCATTTTGGTGTCTTGCTTTGATTTGGGGATTTTTGATGAAAACTTTTTTACATGTTGATCAACACCTGATTTCTGAAAGACGCTTTAATAAATGAGCATTTAGAAACTTCTAGTAATGAATAATAGCTACCTTCTTTCTTACAATGTGAGTTTCATCCATTCATCTTTGTTTTTGTTCTCAGCATCTCAGCGCTGGAGGTTTTAACCTATGAAATAAATCCATGGGCTCATCTGTCACAAAAGAGCAGAAATATCTTCTAGAACAAGTGCAAGTGCATTTTAAAGCACTTGCACTTGTTACAATCATATTAAATCAGCATTTTAGCCATTTATGTAGATTAAAGGATATTATTATGCCTCCTCTTTACATACATCTGTAGTTACCTCTGTGCCTCTTTTGCCTCTGTGCACCCACAGCCAAGAAGTTGGTGCAACTGCTTTGATGAGTCGCCAACAAGGATTGGGTTGCCCCACTAATAACACCTGTACTTTCTCAAAGTAGTAGGGTGACGGAGAAGACAGGAAGGAAGGGGAGACACACAGAGATGCTGTGTTTTTGTCCTCCTTGTGTGGTTACCGTACGGCTTATATCCGTTTTACTCCTGAGTACATTTAGGTGCAGGTTATGCTCCGACTCCTTTCTTCAATAGGTGGATTTTCTCCTCTTAAGGTTTCACCTTTACCGCTGGACAATTTTCTGCCCTTTTGCTTTGCTCCTTTCAGCTTTGTTGTTTAAGAGCTCCTGGTGGCAACATATTTTCTCCTTCTCTGGTTAGGTTTGATTGTGACCAAGTTAATAGACAATACAACATGATTAGCCACTACAAAAACTATTGTGTGTTATAGTCATGTTACATGGAAAATCATTGAACCTTAAATTCTCACAGAATACATGGTTTTTCAGGCTTGTCAGCCTTTATGTGTATAAAAGAATTGAAAATGATTTATATGTATTTGTTTCCTCCTTTGTTTCCAAATACGCAATACTGTTGGTTTGTCACATTCAGTCCTAATAAAATCCGTTAAAGTCTGTGGCTATAAAGTCGCAAAATGCAATTTAACCTTTTCGTGGCACTTGGCATAAAAATCAAAATGAACCCATTTGCCTCTTGCTATTCCAAATATATCCTGATACAGTGTTTCTGCGAATGGCAGCGATGTTGTGTTGGTAGCTGTCACAACCAAACTTTGACTTGTGAAAATCAATCTGACTTCTGGGAAGCTTAAGGCAGAAAGAGCACTGCTGTCATTCATCATTATCTGAAGAGGAGTGTTGTTACTGGAGCTGTCCTCGTTAGCAGCCTTCACACCTTCAAACACCTTTTTCACAGAGCTTCCAAAAAGATAATATTATTAGTAACTGGAGTTGATTTTAACTTCTTTAAGTAGGATGTCCTACTACTGTTACAGCAGAAATCATTACATTCTCTGTGGAAAAACAAAAATCTCTTTTTTTGCACCGTCTGGCATGGAATGAGACAAAAACTTCCTTGTTTTAGAGCCATTAGGACTAGCAAAGATATTTGTATTTGCTAAATGCCAACAATATTACGATTTTTTATTTCAGAAGTGAATATAATATTCTTCAATAATTGTGAGCATTCCAATCAATCTTAAAACAGAAAACGTTTAGGAAAAGCTTATACTGTTTCACTCAGTCCAGCTGGAGAAAACTCACAAATGTTTGTGGTATTGGATCAGATCACAGCACAAACAGCATGATGCTTTCTGTAATCTGTCTTTGACAAGAATTGTGCCACAGTTAATTTCCTACATCTTCCCACTGACCATTTTTCCACCGTGGTATTTCATGACAGTGATCAATAACTCCTGTCATTCCTCATTTGTGGTGCCCTCCCATCACTTTCACCGAATTCTTCCTGCTATAACAAGAACTTTTATATAAGATGAGATGAAGCAGGTCTGCTCCTCCTGGAGCCTCAGATATGCAGAGTGTACTCTTTGAGCTCTCTGCTTGAATTCCTTTTAAGTCGCAGGATTTTGCATTATCTTTGACTTAGTATTTTCTTTAAGTTAGTGGACTGATGTCATTTTCATTCAGAACAAACAAATTAATTTGTAGACATTTAACATAATTAGGTGTTTCATTGTGTTTGAGCTTTAAGCTGATAGCCAAAGATTTAAGGTAAATTTTGTTATTTCTTGTTTATTGAAAAAATAACAGCACAACTTCTTCATGGCTCAAGTTGCATAAAATGGCTCTACATTCAGGTTATTTTCTGAAACTTGCATGATGTTTTCTCAAAACTTAGAAGTTAGTTTCTTAAAACTGAAGAACTTGTAGGTAACTTTTCAAAACACACATTGTTCTTTCGAAGGGTTTAGTTTTCAAGAATAAGATTTTATGAAAACTTGCTGGTTACTTTCCAAATTCATGTTTGTGTTTGAAAATTTCCACAGAAATTTCAGGTGACATTTTAAGAATTTAACCCTGTAAGTCATAAACGTAGCGGCGACGATCCAGCCAAATTTGCAGTACCGTAACTCCACCACACTTTGAGCTACCTGAAAAATTTCAACAGTTTCTGAAAGGAGAGACATTGCGCTTTCCAGCCATTATCGGACTATTACGGTAATTTTACCCCCGCCATAGCAGGGAGTGAAATTAATCTGAGGCCCACTCTCCTAATAGACGGTAAATTACAAAAACTGAGTACAATTAAAATAAACGAAAAATATCCAGGCAGAGATTTAACATTTAAGACATGATGGGTTAAAAACTAGATAAGTTTCAAACCTTATAGGGTTCTTGGTGTGTTCAGTGGGGTCAGGACTAGAGGAATTCGGCCGACCTCTCCACTCATTCTGCAGTTAGTCTGATAAACCTCACTCTGCGGGGTCATATAGGTGTTGGAGTTCAGTTTCTAAGAGTGAATGAATGGGATTGTGACTGGTTGCACAATTTTGACTTCTCAAAATTAGATTAGGCATCTTCATCACTGGAAAAGCCTTGTTTGTCCAGTAGATGCTGCCCCACATCATTACACTGCCTCTACCAAAAGCTGGAAGAGAGCATTTAGAGCACATCACATAATCTACCCTGTTACGCTATCCATAAATGCATTGTATTATAAAAAATGGCATTTTTAAAATGAAATAAACACATTTCATTTATTGCTATGTCACCCAAACAAATCAAATGTTCCTACTTTTGGGCTGCAGTTTACAGCTAGATAAATTTTTAACTGTAGGTGAAAAGACTGCGCAGGACTTACTCTTGCAACCTACAGAAACCAGAAACACGTTCATAAACAGATTTGCTCTTATAAGAACATTTGCTCTACTGATCATTTACTGACCTGGGACAAATATTTTTGTGCTGCCCCAACAGATTTATTCTCACAAGGAACATTTTCATGTTTTATAGCCAAATAAAGGCTGAATCTTGTACTGCAGTAACACTTAATTGAACAGATGCTTCTGGAAATGTTCCAGCTGAGAGATGTATGCTGATCTTGAACCACATGGATTAACCACATTGTAGCTCTGAACTAAAGCGTGTAATCATGTGTTGTGAAAGAAATACTTTGGTGTTTCATCTGCATGGGTTTTAAAATATGTATTTGCAAAAATGTGACACTTTTCTAAACCTAAACAACAAATTTATTGTTTTTATCAACAGTGATTTTATGCTACAGTTTCTAGCTTCTTGTTCCTCCTCTGCTTAGTTTCTGTTTATTTATTTGGCATTTTTTAGTTTTGCTTAAGTGACAATTTTGCTTCTCTGACTCTATTTCCTTGACTACAACACAAATGTCTCTCTCTGTAGTGTTAAGAAAAAATCTTGAGTAATTCAGCAGTAAGCAGGAATTAAATTTCTAGATTTAAACTTCAATAATTTCCTTCAAATATAAACACATTTCCCATATTTGCTGCTCTCTAATGCAGTCCAGGCCATCACACTGCCACCATGTTTCACTGTCGGTGTGATGGTATTTTTCTGAAATGTTGTTAGTCTTATTCCAAATGTAATGGGATGCACATCTTGTCAGTCCACAGAATGTTGCCCCAAATCTGCCGCCACCACCGACTGAACTGAAAATGTGGCTAATCACATTTGACTCATTGATAAGAAAGGACATTACTTTCTCAATGCTGTCAAATCTTTCTTATAACTCACATTACCTTTTTCTGATAATTAGGCTAGTTTTATGACGTGAAATGTCTAATAGAAAGATGCCAAAAACATAAAACACATTAGGTAGGCGATAACTTTGACAGTACCGTAAAAGTTACTGTCATTAAGGAAGTCTTTATTGTATGTTTTTTTATGAGTATTTTTGTCTGTTTGTATTACAGAGTTTTGCAGAGAATACCATGAATGAGTTGCTGGGTTGGTACGGCTACGACAAGGTGGAGCTAAGGGACACCGATAACCTGGAGATTGGAGAGATGCCGCAGCACATCTCAGCGCTCAAAGGCAAGTCTCACGTTCAGCTTACTCTAATGCATGACTCTGTGCCGCATGCTGTGGTTTTGTAATCATCGGTTTGAAATTCAAAGTTGGAATTTTGTAGCGTCTCTCATTCAGTAATTTTCTCTGTCGACAGCTTTATTTTATAAGATCTAAACCTCATGATGTTTATTAAGAACAACTTGAACCAGCGTTTTGCCTCCTAACTTTAAACTTTTGCAACTACACTCACTGACAAAACCTGAGAACACATGAGGAATGGTGTAATAGTCACGCTAAAAGGGAAGCACACCCGCTCTCAATTGTTGGGTTTTACATAATTAGAAAATTATGGTGATCCAACCTGTAGATGTTGTGAAAAAACTTAAGAACACTCAATGATTCAGAATGACGTAGAAATACTTTTAAGAGCAGAAACTCTCATGAAGTCATTTACTTTTCGATTTTGGCCCATGAAACAACTTCAGTTCATAGAGATTTGCAAATATTTTTTGATCATTTCAATACATTTTCCTGGTAGTCTTTTGGTTCTTTCAGATGTAACTTCACAAACACAAATCATAATCAGAGTGAGAGTTTTAAAATGTATGATTGGGTAACATGCAAAAGTTGCAAACTGCTTGGACCACTTGGATTATTTTGAGACGGAAAAGATGTTTTTCTGTGTGGCAGAAAGATATTCTCAACCTTAGGATGTTACATTACAACAGCATTTGCAGTGAGTGGACACATCTGTTGGTCATGACAATTGTTTGAACCCTTTATCTGTACAGAAAACTCGTTGCCAAAAATCCCAGGTTCGACAGAGAGCAGTGAAGGCTCTCCAGACAGAGCCAACAGCTTCCTGTCCTTGCCAAACTCAAGAAATGGAGTCTCCGAGCCATCCAGCACTCCATCCACCTCCACGCCCAGCACCAAGGAGCATGGAAACATGCCAGTAGTGGTGCCTATGATCCCTCCACCGCTTATCAAGCCCCCAGCAGGTATTGGCACATGAATGCCTCCTTCTATCTTTCTTTAGGCATTTTCTCATTGAAACACACTGAAACAAAACAAGTTGAAGATAAAAGAGATTAAAAAGACCAGAACAATCTTACACATATGCCACTTTTAAATGACAGTTGTCACAATCAGATCTGCTTAACCTGCTGTTTTTGACTACCGTGTCTCTTAGTTATGTTATCAAGAATGTGTCACGTCTTAATCTACAGGAGAAGACTATCTTGCCAGCCATTTCAGCTGAACTTTGCTGCATTTTAAAAAACATGCTTGTTGAACTTTTGACATTAGAAATCAGGAGTCCTCAAATCCAGGCCTCGAGGGACAGTATCCTGCAATTTCTAGATTTATTTCTGCTCATTCGCAAGACACTGGAGAACTGCAGACTGAGGAGGTCATTTAACCATTTGATTTGGATATTTTGATCCAAGAACATATATAAAAATTGCAAGACAGTGAACTTCTAAGCTTGGATTTGAAGGCTTTAGTATTTTGCTGTTAAAGCAGAAACATTGCACAGGTTGAGAACTTGAAACAGGTGTTTCAAGTCTTAAACAGAAGGAATTTCTCAGTTCATGAAAACAAGACAGGGCCTAGAATTCAACCCTGAGGAACTCCACATGTAAGTGACGAGCAACGTTTCTCCAGCCTCCAGTCTATGCCCCAGCTTGTTTTCAAAATATTTATTCCCTTTTTGGAAGTGCAGAATTCCTTCACATTGTTTGCTGATGATATTCAAATCTGTTTGTCTATTTATGCACAAAGTAATGACTTAAACAGAAATGTACTACTTTGAAATTATGACAGAAATCATGTCTTGCTGTTCAGAGGTCAGATGGTCCTGATAGTCTTCTTTTATTTTGTTCAGTCTGTCTTTTCTTAACAACCTTAGCATATTTTCTTCTTTTTATGTTAAAAGTAAATCTTTAAACATTGTGCCTTCTTTTCCTTCCTTAAGATTTTGAAATCAACATCTATGTCTTTATATCAAGATGTTTACATGGCTGCAATTTGACTTTTCACAGGAACTAATAAATAGAAGAATGAAACTCTAATCGACTGTCCATTAGTGGGTTAATTTGAATATCTTAATTGTTGGTTTTTAAAGGTCCTTTTCAGTCGGACCAATATCTTTCCTATATGAAAGATATTGCAATTTGTTTTATGTCATCATGAACTCAGAGGCCTAATAACCAGCCAAGGTGAGCTAACTCCTAAACTATTAGAGAACGTTCTAATACCTCAAATTTTAAAGGAATATTCAAAACCCAGCTCGAATTTCCCATTTGATTAATAGAAAACCATACAAACGAAAGTGATATCGACTCTGACACAAATGCTTATACAGTGTGAAAAGTTTGGCCTCCATATCAGCCAGAGACGGCCGGCTAACGAGCTCGATACCTGCTGTACACCTTGTTTTCCACCAGCTGCCCAGGTGCCAGTATTACCCCATCAACTCTCAGAGGAAATGTCCGCGCTCCCTGGCCTGACAGGGGGCTTCATTATCCCTCGTGTTAGCTGTGGACAGGAGGCTGATACACTCTGACGGAGGGAGTGTGCTGCTTTGGCAGCGCCCAAGAATGGTCCCCACTGGCCCTGCCCAGGCAGGAAAACAGATGGTGTGGCCCCACTTAAAGCCCGGTACCAACTAACCACCAGGCTGACACCTTCTTCAACTCATCTCACCCCCCTCCAACTTGTACGCACACACTCTGAATAATTCATGTGCTCCACTAAAACCCACAAAGGCTGTTTTGAGGTGCAGGTATGGAGAATGATGGTGGCATCTAGTCGGGAGGCTGCATAATTACAGTGATAACTGTCCGCCTGAGTGTTATGAGAGCTTCCGAGGAGGGGCAAGCATCCCCCTGTTTATAAATATGTCAAGAAAGATTTAGTGATTCTACACTAGTTTTGGTTCCATTCAGTATCCTTCCACTCATTCTGTTGTGCTTCAAAAACACTAAGCCTTTTCTTGATCCTGTTCGTTGTTTCCGTAATACTCCCAGTGGGTATTGATTATATGAATGAGAGAAAGAAAAAAGAGGAAATGCAGACTGAGTCTCGTTTGCTGTTTTTAGGGCCCAAGAGAGTTTTTTCCCCCTAATTGTGAGTTCGTCTTTACTTAAAATCGAATGGCCCTGTAGATCCATTAAGCTCCCGAAGAGGTGAAAAGCCCTTCCAGCAGTGATAAAGAGTTGACATGAGGTGAAAAACTAATGGGCCTGCATCCTTCCCACCCTCACCCACGCACAGTCATAACGTGATAATTGGGAGATACTAGCGGGAATATTGGAGGATCTCTCTCATTTCAGCGGCAACTGCACTAAAAGCCCAAAGCTCATCATCAGCAGTCAGTTTACCACAGAAGAGGCCTTTCACTATCACCAAGGGGCTTTTGAAATAATATGCTACCCAGACGCCGAAGACTTTTTATTTGGATTAACTGTTTAACAGGCTAGGATTGGAGGAACTGTGAAGAAGACTTATAAATGTGTTTTTTCCTCACATTGTATCCCAATAACTGAATAGATTTTGTTAATAATTTTTAAATGATCTCAAAGTCTTCAGAGTCATCAAGACTTTGAAGACTTGATGCAAATACATTTACAGTATTTTCAAATGTGGTGTTTGCAAATGCTACATTTGCAAACACCACATTGTTTTCTAGTCTTCAAAGTCATCAAGATTTTGAAGACTTTTGACATTAGAAAAGTCAAAGTCTTGATGACTTTGAAGACTTTGACTGATTCAAATGCCAAACGCACTTAAAATGGACCATGAGAATTTGGTACATTATCAGGTGTTTACAATTTTTACATCTTTTATTGTTTTCATAAAACTACACGACAAATTCTGCAGAGTTAAATCAACACTATCGAAATTGGAATTAATTGAACTCTTTCAGTTATTTCAACAAGAAATTGAATAATTTTAACAGTTGAAATAGTTACTACTACTCAAATTACTGTTGAAATAACTGGATAAGAGTTAAATTAATGCCAATTCTGAAAAGGACCAAATAGACTTGGCATAGTGTTAATTTAACTGCAGAATTTGTTGTGCATTGTAAGTGTTATTTTTTTTATTTATTCACTCCTGTTTCACGCATAGTAGAGTTAACATTTAATTTTTCTGCTGATCTGCATATGCTTCAGCACAGATAACTGGTTTGCACCAAGTTAACGTTCTCAGCAGTTTTCTTTTTCAGTTTCACCCGATGCTGGTATTTTTTTTACATTCTTTTAAAGGTTTTTATGGTTCATATGCTTCTATTATGTTATCCACAAGAGCAGCTTCTGGATTCGTTTAGTTTTTTTAGCATTACTAACTCTCTTACCAACTCAGCTCACAACATTTACAATGTATTTTTTGAGAAAATTGATTATTATTATTTTTATTATTTCTCTCCCTTTGTCTAGATGAAGACACATTAAATGTGCAGATTATGTGCGCTTGGTGCCAGAAGGTCGGTGTAAAACGCTATTCTCTGAGCATGGGGAGTGAGCTGAAGAGCTTCTGCAGTGAGAAGTGCTTTGCTGCCTGTCGCAGAGCCTATTTCAAGAGAAACAAGGTAGGAACCCCTGCTTTTCATCGGCTTTGCATTTTTTAGACACTTCTTAAGGGTCGTTTGGTCACAAGTTATCATGCCACCACATGACATCACCGACACCGACTGGAAAATGAAGCTGATGGATCCATGACTTCATGAATATAATTATCACATTGTGAATAAATATTAAGCAGAAAGGTTGAGGGGATTCAATAATTTCAGTAGATTTGTCATTGTTTTGGGAAGAATCCATATAGTGAACATCTAAAGCTATCTTCTCTGTGTAATGTGAAAACAAATGATGGACAAACAAATGTCCCTCACAGTTCAAAATCCCAAATGTTTTACTTTCAAGCCCTTGACTGCAGCTAAAACAACTTGGAAATGTAAACTTTTTGCCATGCAAAATAATCAAAGTAAATAAAATTTTTTTTCTTTACCCCATACCATTATAAATGTTAATATGATCATTTGTCAGTCGTCGGTTCCTCCTGGGATTTTATGCTTGTACAGTAAAGTTGTTAATTGACTCCCATTACCATTGTTTATATGGTGGCTACATGCAGTTAATGCTACATTTGCAAACACCACATTGTTTTCAAGGCCCTTTTGCACTGCAGGGCCAGCATGGCCACAGTTGACATGGATCCGCTGTACTGCGGCTCTTGCCCAACTAGGTTTGTGCCTCATCTAGAGTCTAAAGGCTGCCCAGACCCTTGAAAAAGTCTGGAAGATGACTTGTCTTTGTTACAGTCTCCACAGCAAATGAACCAATCAACGCCTGACTTCAAACCAGCAAGGTCTGGCCGGCCCGAATCGAACCAGATCTCTGGGGGTTCCAGGGAGAGGGGTGGAACTGGACTCTAAATGCTAAGTGCAGAAACGTCTGACCCAGCTTGAACCCCGGCTGAGCAGTGCAAAAGGGCCTCTAATTTGAGTCAGTATGAAAGGAGGACGTTTTCGCTCTAACGTAGAAAAACTCATGTTTAATCACTTTCAGTTTTAGTTTATTTACAGTTTGGAAGCTAAAATAACAAAAATTGCAACAACCTAAGAGGAAAAAACAGAGAAACTAAAAATTCCAAGCTTGTTATTTTCTTACCTCGTGTACCTGCTCTGCATGAAAACTCAGCACTTTTTATAAATATGGAGAATGTTTGTCTGACCTTGTTCAGTGTAATTTTCAAATTTATTAGGGCAGAAAAACTCAATAAACTACTGTAAAGAATCCAATGCTAATCCTTAGAGCTAGCTGAGATCAACAGACTTATCACAAACATAAAGATGTGGGGCGAGAAACAGAAAAACTCCAACGTAGACAGAAAATCCAGCTTGACAGAAACCATTTTTTCTTCTGATAAACTTATTGAGCTATTCATATTTTATAAACTCGCATTATATATATATATATATATATAATTTTTTTTAAAAAGTTGTTCAGTGTGAGATCATGCTCTTGCAATAATAGGTTATTTATTTCAAGGCCAACAAACAAAAAGTCTTGTTTAACTGCACTCTCATCTCCTTTACTGTGGTTAAACAAATCTCCTTTCTCTTTTATACCCAAGCTGGGATATATAAGGACTTATACAGTGAGTATACCATATTTTACTCTGCTGTTTGTCCGTCCTGAAATTCATCCAAATAAACACCACACTACAGCGAATAAGTGCACCTGCAGTTTGTTCATTTAATGTCTTTCTTTCCCCTGACACTATTTCCCAAAGCATGTAAAATTCAACTTGAATGTTTTAACTGCTATTGTTTATAGGATGATGCTAATATTGCTTCACAACATTTGCATTTTTAATGATAAAACTGTAGTGTGATCGATAATCTGAGAGTCTCAGGCGATGTCAAGGGTTCACTGACATTAGGAACATTTATAGTACATCAAAAGAAATGTTAAAGCTTGTTTTATTTTTATATTTATAATCCAAATTAGGTCCTTTTATTTAATAGTCAAAAGTAGCAGAGCAGGTTATGACATATTTAAGGTTTTCTTCACAGTTTGTCTCACTCTCAAATGAAACAAGAATACAATGTAAAACTGTTTCACATTGCAGACAATACAGTTGCAGAATTTCAGTTAGTCAAAGCTTTGCTTTTAACGTATAAACTAAGCAATGGCTAATGAGCCTTTGTTTATGCCGTGTGATTGAGCCATTAAGTCCTCCACTTTCATTACTTTCACTTCCAACTATCTTCCTCTGATTAAGATTTTTGTAAAGCTATTCCAAACCCACCCTCACCTCAAACCCATCTGTTAGTCCTGCCTCACACCTCACCACTGTCTTGCTGCTCAATACCATACGCCACATCATGTAAAGAGCAAAAGTATTTATACCTCTAGAATACTTTACATTCTGCTTCTATTCCAAACCTTAATTTATTTTATCAGTATTTGATGTGATAAATCAACAGAGTCAGGTTCTGTGGATTTATAGAACCCCCCACCCATTATTGGTTTCGTATTTGTGGGTTTGCATATTTGTGGATTTTTTTTTTGTGGAACAAAACTTTTCATTATTTGCAAAATATTTTTTTTCTGAGTAAAAAAAAAAAACAGACAGTTTGGGTAGCTGTTTCTTGTGTTTTCAAAGCAGCCAATCCCGGAGCGGTATTCATTTTACGGCAACACTTTACTTGACGGGGTGTGCATAAGACTGACATGACACTGTCATAAACATGGCATAACACCTGTCATGAACATGAAAGAGTCTTTGAGTGTCTATGACGTGTCATTTGGTAACTAATGACATTTATAATGCAAAGTTGCTCTAAAAGTTGCATTAAAAGTGTCATTATTTACAAAATAACGCAAAGTTGGCACTTTTAGTGGACATTTTAAAGCATTTGGTCTTTTAACTGCTAAAATAAGCAGATGTAAACATTTTTAGAGGAGACTTTAAGTACTTGTGTATTTCAACTATTTCCCTAACCTCCTAGAATACTATATTTAGATAGTAGTCTAGCACACAAGAGGTCAATAAAGCACCTGAAAAACACAAAAATATTAAGAAGTATAATGAAGATGATGCAAGTCACCTTTTTCCCCCATCTGACTTTGTCAAAAAAATGTAATCGGAACTTTAAACACAAGTTAAAAGCTCTTAATAAAATACACACAACTGTTTTGTTTCACTGCGACAGTCAACCTCTTCCTCAAGACATTGTCCATATTTGAAATAATTCCCCTGCAGTCATGCTCTTTGCCAGTAAGACATGTTGGCTGTTTCCTCAGCAGAATGCACGTGTTCAAACATCACAAACACAGAACAGTCTTCCTCTCCCTCCGTGGCTCAGATTCCATATTTTGTCTAGCTGTCGAACATTTCTGCAGTCCATTTGTGTAAACGATACCCATATGTTTCTTTCTCCTTGCACCCACAAGGTTGGACGCAGCAAAGCAGCCTGCAGGCTTTCTCCTTTTTCCTCACATCTCCTCATGTCTATGCAGACTGTGGATAGAGGTGAAGAGATGAGGGGTGAGGGGTGCAGGGACGCGAGTGGGAGTCGTGTTGCATGAAGCATCCTCAGCTGCTTCATTCATGAAATCCAATCGCCTTCTCGTGTGACAGCGGCAGATACTTTCTCACATCTCTGCATACCTCCACGTTATCTGGGGCTTGTCTGTGTGCAGCGAATGATGATGGATAGTTTAATTTAAGCTAATCACTTATGTTTCTGTTTACTGAGTCTTAAGCCTCTCAGTTAATATGGAAGATCCTGCTTCCTCGTACTTTCCAGCACTCAATAATTCTGTCACCTCATTCTTATTTATTTATTTTTTGCATCAGACTCATTCAAAACCACAACGCCTCGTTTTCTTCTTTGATCCTACTCTAAATTGAAATGGGAAAGATGCAGAAGTCCTCAGAGGATGTGTTCTTTTACTCATAGATTGTTTGGGGGATTTAAATAAAATAGATATTCCACTGTAGCCTCTAGCTGTTGATGAAAAGCTCCTGAATTGCAACATCTTTAATTTCATTTGCATGATTTTTGCGGCAGAAAACCAGGATGAAATTTGGGATTTAGTGCAGACGAAGGATACCCTGAACGTAGCACAAGTTGCCTCTGCTGTCATATTAAACTGACCAGCTTCATGTTTTGCTCACAGCAGGTTATCTATGCTAAAGGCAAAATACTCTGTTAGTAACGACATACTAACAAAGTATTTTGCTATGTTTAAAGATATTAGAAGGACCCAACAGCAGACAGGAAGGAGGCTGGATCAAAACAAAGATAACATTTAATGAAAGAAATAAAAATTCAATAAAGATACAGAATGGTTGAATACAAAGAAAGATGCAGAATAGCTACAAGATCCCATGAGTCAGAGTTGCATAAATGCTGAGTTTGTGATTAATATATAAAACAAATATGACTTTTTGCTTTTGGGTTGCAAATGTGAAGTCAGGGAAGTTTGAGCTAATGCAGTAGAGGTACGAGATCGTAACTGAAGGTAACTCACTACACAGACCGGAAGACCTATGCAAAAACCAGACACAGAAAAATCACTGGCAAAATGTAGATACTCCAGCTGTCTGAAAAACCTGAAACATTGTGTCTATTTTTCCAAACCAGTTTAACATCAAAACCAATTGTCTTTAGTTTTATGCCAAAAACGTTTGGGTTTAATTACATAAAGTTATTATGAGACATAAAATCAATAAATAATATATATATAAATATATAATCGGTGCGTTTAACATTGACTTTTTTTTTTAAATTCATGGTGCCGCCGTCGTACAAGACTGGTTTATGCAATCTTGCATTTTGTGAAGCCATACATTTTAGTAAGGCTCTGAGGGCCTTTTGAAAATAAACAGGCCCACAGAATTACAGATTCCCCACCATGCTAAATTGTGTGTCTTATGTGTTTTTACAAATAATTCCTCCTTTTATTGACTCCAGGTCATTTAGCAAACTTTGCATGTTTAGGTTTGTGATGACTGGATAGAGAAGCAGATTTTCTGGCAGCTGTTGAGCAGTGAGCCTGGCTTTTTTTTTTTTTTTTTTTTTACCTCCCTTACCATCCTCTGTGTAGACTTGTCATCGAGTCTTGTTTATCTTTTTTTTTTAAACGTCTAATTAAAAATAATCTAACTTCATATATGATCAAGTTTGTGAAAGCAGTGATTTCCCTGCAGCTATGATTTATGAAGATTAGTAAAGATCTACTTCATTTGAATGACTTTCCCTTTTGAAAAGTGGCAGAAAGAATAAACCTCTCTGTCACATAATATTTACAATTAGTTAATAATTAGGTATGGGCTACTAAATATTAGTTACTGCAAACACATATACAGTCATTAAAAAATAAATTTATTTAAAAATTCTTCACTGAAATTAATATTACTGTTTTTAAGGAAGATGGTGGAATAGATGTAAATAAGTGATCAAATTAGAGACTGTATTTCAGTTTAGTGTGAAATTACTGCAATGAAAGATTAATTTGATCCAAGAGTTTTCACACAGCTTTACCACGACTATAATCAAGGAAGGTGCTTCATATAATATAAAGTTGTGTCTTAAATGCTTGTTTTTCGAGGGTTTTGCCAGTTCAACTGGTGAAATCGTGCTGCAATAGCTTCATCAATCTGTTTTTCCAAGCTGTTGGGTTTCGGTGTTTTTCACTATCGATTGGTTTGATATTTTTCAAATGCCGTCCTGATGAAAACAAAGTACTGTTTTTTGGTTGGTTTTTGTCATGATTTATTTAAGAACCAACCGGCACATTTAAAAGGCATGAGAAGACTTCAGTTCGCAGGTTGTTTCTGCTGCAGCACACACTTTTTCTTTTCTTGCTCACCCTCCTTCTCCTCGGAGACCCCAGACCTCCATCAGTGTCTTTCCCCGAGAGCTCGCTCCAGGCGCGAGGGGGCAGAGTGTCGCTTCATGTCAGCCCAGAAATGTCACATCACCCCCAACATGCACACAAACCTGCCTCCTTGCTCCTCCGCTCTCCGTGGTTTTCCATCAGCTGCCACAGAGAGAGAAATGTATGAGAGAGAGACGAGGGCATCTATCAGAGTGTGTGTCTGTGAGTGTGGGTTTTGTGTGTGGATTTCTCTGTGCGCGTGATGAAGACTGTAAAGTGTCTGCACGTTGCAGCTGAGGCTCGCTGGAGCTCGGGAAGCCTGCAGGCCTGCCTTACACCGCTGCAGGGCACAGAGAGGAAGGTGATTATCTCGTAGCTGCCAGCCATCCAGCTCAAATAAAGAAAAAAGTAACTCCAACTAACAAGATGAGGAGACTGTAAAAGTAAACATGAACTTGGATGGCTTTTTGATATTTCTTTAACTTGTACTGCAGATAAAGTCTGGGAAAAAATATTAAAATTTTTTTTGCCAGAGCACTTTTTCTGGCATCAGTGATTCCATTTTTGTACGCTTCTTATGAAGAAAATGTTTGTGCTCATCACAGCGAGGCTCGTCCCCTGAGTTTTGGGAGACTTTTTATGCTTAGGTCAGATTTGAATTGCCAAAGTCCAGAAAAAAAAATCTTTGAAGGAGCTTCAGAAAGTCTAGAAACAACTGATCCAGACAGCTTCTAAAGCTGACAAGATAGTGCAGCTGCTTGAAAGGAAAATTTAAAGAAATGAGAGATGACTTTCATGCAGCAAGAATAACATTTGCTGCACACTTCAAAATGGGATGTGGTACAAACTGCGATGTGCAAACATCACAGAGAGAAAAATTCCACAGCACCATGGAAAAACCAGAGCAAACTTGTGTTTTTTTTAATATATATCTTTCAAGGGGTTCATTTTCTCTCTTGTTATTACTCTGTGCACCCGTGTTGGTTTTCTGATTTCAGAAAGCAATTTTTATTTCGGAAGAGTAGTTATTTTTGGCAGTTGATGGGCACGCACACACCTGGGTGAGGACGTGTGCCCAGATGGAAGACAGCACTTTGACAGCTGGCCTCACATCCCCACAGGACCCCGGCATCAACAGAGGGGAGCATCGAGGAGGATGTCTTCCTTTGTTGCCTGAATTAGAAATTATGGATGGATGGATGGATGGATGGATGGATGGATGGATGGATGGATGGATGGATGGATGGATGGATGGATGGATGGATGGATGGATGGATGGATGGATGGATAGATGGGCAGTAAGCATTTTAAGCATGTTAAAACACCCATTCAAGCTTTGTTGGACTGTTTAACCCACTTTAATGTGTTTTAAAAAATCTATTTATTCCTAATAATACAGTCATACAAAACTTGTATGTTAAAATTTGCTGGATTTCCATTTCTAGATATTCATATTCATTACAGTGTTAATAAAATTACACTGCATATCTGTCTATCCATCTATGTCTGTCTTTGTGTGGCTCTCTGTGAGCCTTGAGCCTTGTTCACGGTGCCAACACCTCATTAGTGCAATATGTAAATGAACTGGAGCGGGGCCAGAGGGTCAGAGCACAAACTGGAGGCTGGATAATAGCACAATGCTGCGTCTTTCTGTCGTTGTGCATTTGTGTTCGCCACAGAGAGTTACTGAGTCTTCCGATTTCTGTCCAGTTAATGTCCATTTACCCTCTCTGGCGTCTGTAGCGCACACGACTGACTTCAGAACAGATGAAGTGGCAGAAAATGATTAAATTATTCAGACAAATCAAAGTTTAAACCACGTGTTTGATCGACTTATGCTAGGATCTGAACTTATCAATAAACATCTATATTATTAGCTGTTAAGTCTTAATTTCAGGGGATTTTAGCTGTATTTTATGACCCAATTGTATCACACCAACTTCTGTTCTACACAACAACAGATTTCTTTAATATTAAAATAAAAAACACAATGGAGCATCTCCGGAAACATCTTAACCACACCTGACATTACAGATTGTCTCCGTTTTCACGCCGTGCATAATGAATGACTCAGAGAGCAGGAAGCTCGTTTTCCTGCTGCAATCAGTGTTTGAAAGGATTTTTAAAAAATGCTGCAATAAGATACTCATGGATATGACACAGCTGAAGTGTTTAGACAGATTTATCAAATATCATCCATTTGATACTGAAACATACGCTTAAAGGACTGAGGAGTCCTTTTGGAATATTTTAGGGACATATATTTTAACCTTTTATGCCTTTTGCATGGCCTGCAAAAGTATTCACCATTTCCAAATCACAACCTGAACCTTCAGTGCATTTTATTTGGATATTAGGGGAAGAGTCCTCACAAACGAAAGCAAATTTATGACGTGGAAAGGAAATGCTTCATGGTTTTCAACATTTTTAGAAATCTTTTGCATAATAGCTCAAGATCATTCAGATGAACAAGAAGTCTATGAACATCAATTTTCAAATATTGCCGCAGACTGATGTTTTAGAATTAGGTCTGGACTTTGACTGGGCCACTTGAACATCATTGTGATTTCATTGACTGTCAGCCATCTTCCCATTCACTCTAGCTAGCTTCCCTCTCCTTCCTCAAGAAACGTTTCCCTGCAGCATGATGTAGATAGTTTGACGCTTACGGTTGTAATATGATGTAAACATGTAAAAGTTTAAGGGACATGGATACTTTTGCTACCACTGTACATGCAAAACTAATCACTTTTTAAAAAATTGACTTCAGAGCGTGAGCGTTTAAAGTTTTTTTTTTTCCATTGAACTGAACATCTGCACACGCATGTTTGCACGTTTAGTTAGCCCGTCGAACAACGTTGCAATCACCATTTCAGTTTTGTTTATGTCTCTCTTTGCTTTGCATTTCTCAGACTTTTTGTTGCCTCTGTTCACCTGTTTTATTTGACCATCCTTAAAAAGTAGCCATTATTTCTCCTCCCCCTCCTCAGACGAGAGACGGCGGCGCCCTTGGAGGGAAATTACCCCGGCACGTCTTTACTCAGGACGCTCCCCGGCTTGTCTTCAAGACAAACAGCGATGTTCTTGTAAGAATCATGAACATTTAACACCAGACACAGTTTCAGTTCAAAGGCTTTTAAGAACATGCATACATTTATTTTGATGTTTTCATTTTTTGTGCTTTTAAACATTTTTTTTCCCATCACACATTGTATTCTGTTTCAAAACAGAAACACAGCTTTCATACCCCTTGATCTTTTCTACATTTGTCATTTCACAACCATGAACATGTGTGTTTTAACTGAGATTTTATGTGACAGTCAGAGTACTGAAGTGGAAAGTATATTGTACATATTATTATTTATCTTTTGGACAGATAATCTGAAAGGTGTGTCATATATTTCTATTCAGTTCTCTTACCTCTGATGCCCTTTAATAAACTCTATCTCAACTAATTCCTTTCATAAATTATTTAGTTGGTTTATAGAGTCCACGTGAGTGTCATTTAATCTCACTGTACAGTTAAACCACAAGTTTACATACATGTTTTTCTCACTGTCGGAATTTAATTCAGACCAAGTTTCTCTTGTTTTAGGTCAGGTTAGAATGACCAAAGTTATTGCTATTTGCGAATTGCCACAAAAATGAGCAGAAGCATTTCTCAGATATGAACTTATTGTTGCCCGTGTGAACTTCAGCTTTCAACTATAAAGGCAGCAGTGATGATTTCAGAGCAGATTCAAGGACCATAGCAGAGAGGTCAGGGAAGAAGTTGTTCTCTGCATTTTAAAGCAGGATTAGGTGACAACATAATATCCTTGGCTGTGAGCATCTCACCATGCACTCCTCAATTCATCTTCAGGAAACAGTAAATCTCACAAGCTGTCCACAAGTCCATTATTATCTGGAGATTTGACCCAGAGGCCAATGGAAACTTGGGAGGAGTTGCATATGTCAAGTGTGATAATCTGCAAGCATCTTCCAATATGACTTTTATTGAGAAAAACCCCCCATGAGATTGGCTTTAGATGTCCTGTTTGGAGTTTGTCAAAAGCCTCATTGGAAACACAGAAGACATGTGGAAGAAAATGGTGTGGTAAGATAAGAGCCAATTGAATTTATAGGTTTACATGAAGAGCATCTGTGCAGTGGGAAAACTAATACAGCACATCACATTGAGTACACTACAGCTAAGGTTAAACATGGTGGTGGCAGCATCATGCTGTAGGTCTGCTTTTTACGTTTTTCTCCTGGATTTGCTGGTCGGCCACTGAAAAGCAAATGGCAGAAATTATTGTCAGTATCATTGTAGTTTATGGCTGTTCAGCAAATACGTGGCTGTTGCAACCCATTGAATGGTTTAGCTGCTTTTTGAAATTTTTATTATATTTTTATTTTAATCCATTGTCATTTATTGTTCTTCAGCAGCTATACCATTATTTTTTATTGGTAATTTTAACTTAGTGGATGTGAGCTGTTCAGAAATTCACCAATTAATCTTCTGGCGACTCAATTAAAACAAACTCTTTCTGAACCCAAAAGACGTGTACCAGTCCTTTCTTAAAAGACCAACAGTGGAATCGTTGGCATCATTATAAGAGTATTCAATCTCATCAGGACACGTTGTTCAAAAATTTGAGGTCAAATATTCAAGAAAACATTGATTATATTCTTCTTAATGCAAACAGCCGCTGCTGGCCAACAGAAACATTTCATATCTTTGCTAGAGATCAGAGTTTCTACAGGAACATTCAGACACGATCCACCACTCAAGTCTCATCTTTCTTGCAGCTGGAGTGGTTTTACTCATCACCCCGGCCCGTAGTGCGTGCTGGGAAATCCTCCAACTGAGCTTCACTTGGCCGAGACAGGAAGGTTTTTACGTATCACATTTATAATGACCGATCTGATGGCTGGCTGTAATAAGAGCAGCCTGACAGACACACAGAACAGGCCTGCATCTCTTTGACTTTTATCTGCTCCTTAAACTTTTCATTCTCCATTCAGATTTTAATGAAGTCACACTACAATGTGGCTAATGTGAAGCCTGGAAACAGGAAATCAATCAGATATCCCTTTTCTTTTATTTATGAGGTAATTACAATCAACAAAACAATAAATGATGTAAACTAATTAGCACCCACAGCATCACAGGTATTTGCTGCAGATGGTCTTAAAGAGGTTGAATTGAAGTAAACCTGCAACAAACTCTTTTTCTGCTAAGAGTTTGTTGGCTGCATTCGGTGCATTGATGCTGTTGAAGTCTGGAGTTGTCAGGATGTTCTGCAGATTGTTTGGAGCAAACCCTGGCTGATCAAACTAAGTTCCTCTTCAGTTGGATGAAGGTTGTAGAAAATTGTTTCATAACCAGCAAGAACAAAATCCCTGAAGTGATGCTGTTGGGGTTCAATGTTGTGATGTCAGCTTATCAATGTAGTCAGTTATTGTAACTTGCCCATAATGTGTGGCCTGAGCGCTCCTGCTAATTTAGGAAAATGATAGCATTGCTTCTGGTTCCTTGGCAACAACTAAAGGTATTGTACCGCTCTCCCACTAACTGCTGAATCAGTTGATGTCACAGTCGCCTCCTTTCACACAGAAATTGGTATAATCACTCTGCTTGCTGCTAATGGCTCTTTGCTGCTGAGAAGGTTCAATTTACCCCAAGGCTCGGCTGTGCTGGTTGTTGAGAGACCAAAGGAAGTAGTGAGCCATTGGGCTCCTGCAGTTTGAACACAGGTTCTACGTGTCTCAGCTGCCAATAGACACTTTCAGAAATACTTTGGGACCTGTTTGTTTTTTCTGTGTGGTTTCTGAAAAGTCCAAGACGACATCAGGTTGAAGTTAAAATGTTCATTTTTACAACCCTGAGCCACCAGGTACAACAGTCACGGCACCATAATGAGCGACTAATTTAAAGGTTAGCTAGTTTCTCAGCCTTAAGAGTGTTATGAACATGCAGTCTGTGCAAACATCTGGCCAGCTGGTGAAAAGCAAAAGTGAGTCACATGTAATTATCTGCCAGTAACTCCCAATAGATGGTGGTTAAATGCTCCAAGACATGACATAACACAGCAGTTCAACCATAGAAAGTTTTGTATTGTATTTTTTTAAAGCTTTTATAATTAAATACATGACAAAATACAGTGCCACACTCCACCAGGGTGTTTCTCCCCTTGGAATTGGAGATATATGAAACAAAGTTATTTGTTACCATCTATATTGACCCAGATAAGATCCCATTTAAATCATCTATGGTTCTGCAATACCAACTTTATTTTTATTTGTAAAATCTGTCTAATTATGACTGTTTCCTTAGGACTCTCTCTTTGATTCACCATAGCCTTTTCATTTTCAGAATCCTCTTTATTAATCAGTCTTTTCTGTTTCTTATCACTCTGAAACCCACTCTTTATCTTCTGCAGTTTTTTTTAAAACTTGTAAATACTTCTTCAGTTTCTAAAACTTTCTGGAATAGCTATGCAGCTTGTTGCATCAAAAATATTTTCTTCCTGCCCCACAACCTTTAACAAGGCCCATCTGGCTCTTCCTAATTTTCTCCCTTCTCGTTGTCGGATCAGAAGGTGAGAGGAGAAAGAACGGCTGCTTCTTTTCCAAGCCAGATAACTGTAATGCAAATGGTTAAAGTACATCACCATCGTTGGTTCGTTGGCCACGGTGGAAATAAATGGCCGTAATTAGGCTGAACTGCAAACATCTGTGTGCAGGAGTGTGGAGCGAGACGAGAGGGAAGGAGAAAGCACAACTCCATTAGCGTAATGCTCGGTGAAATTTTCACTCACAGTGCAGAAAGTCGTTAAGTGCTCTCCGTCTGTCTTTCCGAGTCAAGGAAAATTTCAGTACATTTATAATTTAAAATATCCAAGGTTTAGAAATATAAAGCCCAACTTGTGAGAACACTTCTTGGACTTTTACTCTGTTACGCCTCATTGGATTAGTAGGACTAATTGAACAGTTAAAGCATCTAAAATTTAAATGACTTTTAGTGGTTATGTATGAAATTATGTCTCAGATCTGTTCTATGTCACCACGCGTGTAACTTATTACTCTATCTTGTATGATTGGTTAAAATCACAAAATATTTGCAAAACCTGTCAGTTTTTTTCAAAGTTGTAGTGTATAAAGTTTATTTTACAAATGCATTCACACAAGGAGCCTTTCTGACTGAATCTTTTTAAGCCACCGTCAGACCTGATTTGTTCTAATAAACCAGTGTTGCTTTGCAGCGTGTAAAACAGGAGTTTATCCGCTTTCTGGTTGCATCCTTCAACTTATTAATATTCAGCAGGGGGGGCAAAGGGTCTGTATGATGGATGGATGTCGCTGAAGGGTCTGACAACTGATTAATGCCTTAATTATCTCCAGTGAGGACCTGCCACTCCTCCCAGAGCTGACAGAGTGAGCTGTGTGTGGCCTGACGAGCGTCGCCGTGTTCGGGGCTCGCCCACTGCTATCTGCTCCACCGGGGTCACATTCATTTTCTTCCGTCAAGAAAAATGCTCACATTTTTGCACTCTGAAGGTGTTGATGAAAGACTGCAGCAGCCTGTTTTGGGGATCAGCACCACTGCAGTGGCTATAAAACTTAACATTTAAGACGAGCCAACACACATTTGGGTTTTGTATAGCTGCATAAAATAACAATTAGATGGAAAGGCAACAGAAATGTATTATGTATGCCTATTTTTATGAAAAAAAGAAGTATGAGATCCACACTTTTTTTTTTCAGGTCATTAACTTTAATAGACTTGGATAACCTTAGTAAATATAAAGCTATTAATGGAAATGGCTCTTAAGTCCAGAATTTAAACAAGATCTTCTCAAGACTATTATATTTTTCATGCTAGTTTTTTTTAAGCCATACAGTACAGACATTTTAGATATTTTAGATCATTGTCTTGCTGCATAACCTAAGTACACTTGAACTTAAGGTAAAAAATTCTCCCTCAAGATTTTCTTGCATGGAAAAGAACTCATGGTTTCATCGACTCTCATAAGTTTTCCAGACTATTACCTTACCTGCACCATGCTTGACTTTCTCTGCAGCTGAGCAATATGGATAAAAATATTTTCATTTATAAATATGTTTTTTTCAACATGACAGATTCAAAGGTAAATATCACACTAATGTTTCAAATTCATGTTCCTATGATAATACGTATTCCAATGCAAACTGAAAGAACAAACTAAAGCAATTATTATTTATAGCTAATGAAATTTGTTTTCATAAATTACACACAGATTGTTTAAAGTTATGGGTTAGAAATACAGTAAACAAATTAAACATTACACGTTCTTTACTAGCAGTATAATGATGTAAAATTATTTGAAGAACAATTTGAGACTTCAAAACTGCTTCAGTACATGACTTAAAAAATGTAAAGCAGGTTAACTGCCCCCTTTTTCTCTATTTTGTGAAAATATTTAAACTTACGACATGCTTTGTCTTTTCCCATTGAAATATTCCTGTTTCTATGTTGTTCTGTGTTATTTTTGGAGCTCCTGGAATAGTCACCAGAGCTTAAGCAGATTAAATCACTAAAGGGCATTTATTTCACACCAGTGAAATAATAAAATAATAATAGTGAGTTGTAAACACTTTTATAATTCACTAGAACTTTGGAAAATTCATCCAGCAATCATTTTGTGACCCTTTGGCACAAAAAAGAAGAAAAGAAAAATAAAAGAAACTTTATTTAATTTATTTTTTTTTTAATCTATCAAATTGGTGGTTCATTCTTTATTTTCATTATGAATCAAAAAATAGATGATTCTTGTTTTCAGTTTGTAGCTCTTAAGGCCAAACACTTTAATGTATGTTTGTGGAATACCATGTTGTGTTACTTCCAATCAAAACAGAAATTGATGGAATGACTAACAATATAATTGGATCTCCAAAAGATTTTCTTCCTACAGATTTGTTCAATTAGACACCTGCTAGAAGTATTTTACTGCATTTATTACCAAGTTGGCGCAATATTCAAATCATTTTGTTCAAGGAAACTGAGGGAAAATATCTTGTAGTTGTATCAGAGTCATTGGTCTCCCACAGGACTGAGAGTGAGTGTTTTTTTCAGGCCAACAGAAAGTGCAAATGAGAACTTGTTGCGTGGGCAGATTGTTAAAGACAGTCACCTCAGTTGCATAGCAGCAGAACATTGTTATGTCTGCATTCACTTATGTAAATGTAGAGTTGTTATAAGCAAATGGGGATGTGTATTTACAAATATAAATGAACTTACTTCTCAAGTACGACAATGATGATCTAATATTGTGCTGTACTATATGTAAATGACAAGATACATACCTTATGTGCTGTGTTTTTTGCAGGTGTGTGACTGGTGCAAACATATTCGCCACACTAAGGAGTACCTGGACTTTGGCGCTGGTGAGCGCAGGCTGCAGTTCTGCAGTGCCAAATGCCTAAACCAGTATAAAATGGACATTTTCTACAAGGAAACCCAGGCTGCCCTGCCTGGAGCATTGTGCAATCCCGGTCATGGAGCTGGAGGGGAGGGAAAACCAGAGTGCAGTGGAGGGGTGCAGCTGCTGACTCCTGAATCCTGGGGAACACCACTGACAGATCTTCGGCGTAAGGCTCCTTCACCAGGGAGCCATTCTGGCACCTCTGCCTTGATCTCCTCTACTTCTTCTGCCACCTCACCTTCAGAAACAGCAGCTGTGTGTTCCCCTTCCTCATCCACTTCAGCCAAAATCCCCACACCTAGACCTCATGAAAGCCCAACACTTCCCCCTCCACCTGTTCCTTTGCACCCACCAGTGGGGGTTCCCTCTGGTAGCCCACCCATGGTGATGACACCCAGAGGACCTATGCCCCTGCCTCTGTTCATGGAACATCAAATGATGCAGCAGATCCGACCACCTTTTCTTCGCCCCTCTGCCCATCCAGGGGGACCTAACAGCCCTCTTTCAAACCCCATAATCCCTGGGATTGGTCCACCTCCTCCCCCAAGAACCCTTGGTCCAGCATCAAGTCCCATGCACAGACCCCTCCTTTCTCCACACGTCCACCATTCATCCAATCCTAATCCAGGTATGATCCCTCCTCACCCTGGCTTACCTATACCAGGTCTGCCCCCTTTTCCTCCTGTCAACATGATGCCCAACGGACCCATCCCTTTTCCCCCAATGATGAACTTTGGCATGCCATCCTTAGCCCCATTGGTTCCCCCACCAACTCTGTTGGTCCCTTACCCAGTCATTGTGCCTCTCCCAGTTCCAATACCTATTCCAATCCCAATCCCTTTTAACTCCAAGACTTCTAGGGACCAACCAGAGAGCAGTAGTTCTGTCCACAGCGCTCCAGATTCTTCAGAAGCATCATCCTCTAGGGCTCACTCTCCAAGTTCTTCTGGAAGTGACAAAGGGGACCATAAGACAGAGCCAGCTGGTGGAGAACAGGTTTCTCCTGTATCTGGTGAGAGAAGCAGGACAGCGTTCATGGACTTGACTGTGAAGGCAGAGGATAATCCAGGCAGTCTTTGTCTTTCCAGTGGCTCTGGACTGATTGATGGTGTAATTGACCTAACTGTGGGCCAAAAGCCAGGCCAGCAGCACCTCATTCAGAACATGCTCGCTGGAGTCAAGGTCAAAGTGGAGGAATTGAGATCTCCACCAGCTGATGGGTTTGGGAGGGATTGTGTAGGTAGCAATGCAGAGAATGCTCTTTTACCACAGGGCAGTTTTACAGAACTGGATACAGGCACGCACCTTAAGTCATTGGACTCTGCAGCGCAACCTTCCAGCAAAACTGATCTTCCAGAGAGTCAGATAAGTCCTAATTTTAAACCAGCGCTCTTGCCCACATCAGTACGGACCCAGTCCTTAGCCCTTCCTCAGCTTCAAGCTAACTCTGCTGCCCCTTGTAATGTAATAGTCAATGGCACTGGATGGCATTCCCTTCTCAATCCAGACCGAAAAGGAGAGAGGGATGGGGAGAACCCGCCAAATAATGGTGATCTGGAGCGCGAGGCGCTGAAAGAAAACAATTGTTCGGTGGGTGAGGCAGGGAAACGAATATCAGCACAAGATGAGAAAGTGGACATAAAAGTGGACAGTAAGCAAGACCCTGACTCCAGCATGGAGGAGGGTGAACACGCCTACGCCCTGCCACTTCTCTCAGCGGGAGGTTGTGTCGTCATCCAGCCTGTGCCAAAGCCTGCTGCTGACAAGACAGCCATCCTGTCCTGCTCCATCAGTGCACCGCTGTCAGCAGGTGGGAGCCCTGAGCTGGAGCCACCGCTGAAAAGGAGGTGTCTGCGAATCCGCAATCAAAACAAGTGAGGTAAGTGAATTTTGGTATTATCCAAATAACACTTCTAGGGACTCTCACATCACATTTAAACTAAACCAACTTGTTTGCAATTTTGATTTAAATCAGTGGATACAATTCAGCCTGTGACAAATCAACTTCCACAATTGACAACTGAGAGATGTTAGACCGTGTGTTGATCAGCAGAATAGAGTATTGTTAAATATGAGTAATGTATTCAAAGTTCTAGTATTTAGTGTTTTAAAATCACGTTTGTTCTTTGGTAAACTTTGATTTTATTCTGTTCAGCCTAAGCAAAACCCTCGAGTCACATGTTTCTGGATAATTTGGTAAAATCGCACAAAAGTGGTACTTGAACAGCGGTTGACAAATGAAAAGGAAAAAATTTATTTTAAGCACTATTTATGTAAAGTGTGGTTAAAAAAAACTTTGTTTTTACCTTTTTCCACATATTAATGTTTAACTTAAAAAAACAACATACGGTTCTTTGAAACTGAGGTGGACTTGAATATCAGAGCTCACAGGTGTAAGCAAAAGGGTAATCAGGCAATTAGACTTGGAGAACGTGTTCAAACATGCCCATTGAAGAACCCTGTGGTGGTACTTTGGGAGTAGGGGGTTCCAATGCCTTTGATACAGGCTGTTAGGTCCCTGTGCGATCAGTGTCAGATATTAGTTGTTTCTGGTGAGCGTCTGACTCAAAGTTGCTCTTTGTCCCTGATTCTGTTCATGAGGTTCATGGGCAGAATAACTCGCACAGCAAAGGTGTTGAGGAGATCTGTTTTGTTGGATGGATGGATGGGCAGTATGTGTTGTCTGGTTTTGTTTCCTTTTTTTAAATGTTTTTTGTTATTGTGTTGTGACACATACTCTAGAAATGAAAGCCATAGTACCCACATTTTATTTGATTGTCCTTCTCTTTATGTCGGACATCAAATTATGAATGCGTTTCAGGGTTTCTGTGGTTTTAAAATGTGTAACACAAAATGATTTCCTCAATCTAAAACATATTCTTTACTCAAACATTTTCTCTTCTTTTGCGGTCTAATAATAAAACACTCTGCACTCTTTTCTATCCTCTTAGATTGTTCAGGTGCAGTGACAAAGATTAATCAGAGTGACAGTGTGCTGCTTGATTTTTGGGTAGACACAGCGTGACTTCAGACTTGGGAAAAAAGAAGTGAAAAAAAGAATGAAATGATTGAAACATAGTGCTCCATTTTCCTCAGCGTTACCTGAATGCTATGACAGGGAGATGTGTTTGAATGTCACTTAGGGAACTCTTGAGGAGAACGTTTTTGAAAAGGTGTCTGATTCAATAGCATCCTGGTGAATAGGATGTTTAGCCCACACATTAATTTTTCAAACAAAATGAGTGTTTATAACTTGTAAGATTGCATTCTCGATCACCAAAATGAAAACCTTTTCTTGTCAAAAGACCCATTCAGCACATTTTTCGCTACAGTTGATGCTACATTCCTTGGCTTATTGAATACTAATGAAATGAAACTGCAATTTTGAGCAATTTAAAGGCAGATTCAGGTTAGGGTGGCACGAGGCAAGTGCTCTGAATGAAATCAATTAGTGACAACAAAAGAGGGAAATCAAGCCCTGCAGCCAGCAGCTAGCATGAACAGAATTAATCCGCTGTAATAATCAGACATGTGAAGGTTTATTTTTTATGAAGACTGACACCGGAAAGTCAAAATACTTAATGAAAATGTTCTTTCCAAAATATTGTCTCATTTCATAGAGAAATGCTAAGACTTTTATTAAGGCATTAGTTATTTACCATGATTATTTAATTTATTTGAATGACAAAATGTGTGAATTGTGCTTAAATGCTGGTTCAATGATAGAAAATGAAGCACTTTCACTGAGCGGTATTTTTTCTGGAAAGAAGAATGGTAAAATATCAAGTCAGAAGTTCATGTTTGGTTACTAAAAACAGCGTGAGGTGCAACTTTCTGAAAAACATTCAATTAAAAAGGGCAGTAGGTGGGATTGTACAATTTACCATTGAAACCAGATTATTGCGGTGTAATGCAAATTTGTTTAATATCAAATTTGGTTTATTTGATATTAATTTCATTTTTCACAATCTAACGTTTAATTTTTACTGAATTGTGTTTTATGCAGACTACTTATGTATTTTATTTCTTCAAATTAAGTGTTGTGCATGGCATTTCTGTGTATTTAGTAAAATTGCTTTTTTAAATTGCATGACCAAATGTTTTGGCTGTCTTTCCTCAAGTCAGACATATTTTCATATTTTCTTTGAGATTGAGATTAGAGTTTAAGGATTTAGTGACAATAGCAAAAAAAAAAAGTATATTATATTATATTATATTATATTATATTATATTATATTATATTATATTATATTATATTATATTATATTATATTATGAAGGTTATGTATTGCATGTGACTGGAAATTAGATGGTGATAGGGATGTACGGCCAAATTACGTTTGTGTTTTTATGTATTTTAAATTTGTTTGTGTTGATTTTTCTTTCAAGTATCTATACTCTTTGTCTTTTTGAAGTATTGTTTTTATTTTTATTGTTGTAATGTAGCCTTGCCACTACAAATTTCTCCTATGGGAGACTCATAAATGAACTTAAGCTCAAAACTTAATGAAGATGAAAAAGTTTATCCACAAGATTTTCTCTTTGAAAGCTGATCATGAAACAACCTGGACTCTGTCTCATTGTCCTCTCTCTCTCTTTCACAGATGGATGCTCTTATAACCGCAGTGCCATCAGCGACTCTCCTATCTACCCCCAACCTCTAAATCCCATCACCCCAAGCCACATCACTCCTCACTTTCACACATGCACATGTAGGTTGTTGTCATCTCACCATCTACCAGCACTACTAATCGCCTTTCGAGAGTGACGAGAATCCAAGAAAACTAAATGACGTGAATCATAGCAGAGGAGACAGGGCTCCACTTGTCTTTATGACACTCTTTGAGGGCCGTATTTTATATATAAGGGACGTTTTGGCCAGCAGGACTTCTTGACCTTTAACCTGGAGACAGTAAATTCTTACAACAGGAGGATTAACAGGCGTCCACATCCCCTCTGGTTTTCTCATTATATAAAGATTAAATCTGCATCCCCAACCCTTTCAACACAAGCTCTGTTCATAAATATTTTTTTTACTATGGAGCATCCTGTGATATTCAGACGTCAGCGTTGAACCTGTGAAAAGCTTTGACATGAGATGACACTATAACTAAGGTACTAAATGTCAGTGCTTGTATTTTGTTTGATCCTTTTTAAACTCACATGTTTTGAAATACAGATAAATGGGAATTAGAAACAAACATCAGAACAGTTCATGCAGCTACTTTCTAATGAGAGGAGTCATAAATCCTCTTGAATATCTACACTTTCTGTTTGGTTGGATAAAAACATCAAATTGATGAAATGGGGACAGTGTTAATGTCACCAGCCATCTGCTGTTCAGATTTTTTCTGTACATGCATTATTGAGAAACAGAGTTATCAAAATTGACTTTCATTAATGTCATAAGAGCAAAGGGATGGGCTGATACTTGCTCAGGCTCTTTTTTTTAAGCCCTTTTGTGCTCCTAAATAAATCTGCCAACCTCAGCCTTGGAAATTTGTGTTTAACGTCTTCATTAACAGTGATGCTAGTATTCACTTTTATTGGTGTCAGAAGAGGGATAGCCCGTTTACAAATCTCAGTCTTTAACTGTGAGGGAAAACTTAGAACCAAACAAACAATTTTCACCCATTTACCAATGAAGTCTGTAAGCTTTGTAAATGGGACATTAGTAATTGTCCCCTTTTGTTCCTGTCTACTTTAAAATGAAGAGGTACATTTTAAACCAAAAGCTTAGTTGGTTAATAATTTGTTCCTATTAAGTAATGGCCAACTGTTCTTTAACAATCACTTCCTAGTCATTAAGTACTTGGCATAATTTCACTCAGAAAGACATCAGTAACTAAAGGGTAATTGCTTATTTGCAAGTTTATCTTTTTTTCTTCCTTCCCCATTTGAAAATGATCATTAATTTACGTTCACCAAATCAGTGACTGTGTAGCAATAAACCAAGATTACATTTTGATGGTATTAAACTGACTATTAATAAATGATTATTTATTCAACTAATCTCTGGCTAGTTGCTAATGATTCATCAGTAGCAATTAGAAACCGATTGGGTAGGGCTAATTAGCCGCTAATGCTAACTGGTTCCTTTTTATTATTAATAATTTTGCTGTCAATATTAGCAATAAAGCCATAATTTAATTCAGACTCAACTATTACAAAAACTTTAGCTATAAAATATATTTAGAAAATAACTAACTGAGCACTAATCACCAAGGTTAATTTATTCCTTATTGGTCCGGATAAAATGTCTTATTCAAATCAAGATCTGTTTTGAGGGAGACCTGCTCTTCAAAGCAGCAGGGCTTACAATAAAATACATATCAATAAGCATATAAAACTAAAGAAATACATCAGATATGAAGAAAAAACATATGAACATTTACTTTACTAACTAGCATACAAACTGTTTCTGATTAAGAACTGATTTGTTCCTGTATAACTGAACACAATTTTAGGGCTGTTGTAAAGTGTTTCTTCTACAGTCCATACTAAATTACCTAATGTTTCTTAGCCAACATTTTTTTTAGCTTATATTTTGAATTGTAAAGCAATTTAGTCCTTTGTGTGTTTTAACTGGCCCCCATCCAGTTCGACTTGCGTTCAGTCAAATGAAGCCAGACGTCGGTCGACATTTCAGTGGTGAGATGCACTGCACTCTGGTGTTCAGGGCCAAAACATGGAACCTACTTTTCTTTTGTAAAGCCATCTTTCTGATATTAGACCTAGTAACTAATAGTTGGCGATTAAAACCACTTATGCAAAGAAAAGCTAGGCACACTATGAATTAAGAATTTACCATTACTTTAAAAATGTTACTTATAGTCAACAAAGATTAAAAAGAGTATCCAATGCACTAACTTGGCAATCCTACATATTTTTTTTGTCTTAGCATACATTTTGTTCACTGTTGAGTTGTACCTAAAAGGGGCCCAACATTTGCTCTTAGCTCACACGTAAAAAGTATGCAAACTCATGTCTGACAGGCTTCATAAGTGTAACCATGTACAAGTTTGTGAGGCGGTTGCAAACAGAAACTCCAGCTGAGATTACACTGCATGAAACTGTATCTGTGAGCTGTGAGGTGGCCATTTAGGTTCAAAGTACTGTCTGCCTCAGGTCAGTGTCAGTCCTCGCAAAGCTTCTGCTCCACTTTTCTGCAAGCAACAGGGGGGAACAAATACAGTGTTTAAGTTTTCTATTTCTCTGGTTTGCATAGAACTCTAAAAATCAAAGCCAGAGGAAGAAATTGTTCACAATCAGCTGCACAGATGCACATCCTCAACAAATAGAATATAACATTACTTTTGAGTTTTTACTTACAAGTGACATATGAATTTAAGTGAACTCTGTAAAAAACACAAAGTGTCAAACATTTCTGAAGGAAAACAGAGGCCAATTTTCTTAATGCAATTGTCATTGCAAAGTTAATTTTTTTGTAAAATCTGCTGCTCTTTTTTTGTTGTAAAACTCCCTTTTGCTTAATTGCCTCAAACAATAGCTCTTTTGGAGACGAGTGCTGGGTTTGTTTTCTGTTCTTTGATTGTGGTGCCACAAATAATTTAAGACTGAACACAACTGTTGGGATTTTTCTTTCTCTGACAACCTAAATGTCTTGTTTTGATGACGTCCTAAACACGGATAACTATGTTTGCTTTTTCCTTCTTGTTGACACCTTTTATATTCCCAGACTGTGACAAAATGCCAAGTTCTGACTGCTTTTACTCATCCCTATGTTCTGCTGGTGGCATAAGATATGGGAGTCTAATTTTAGACAAATTAATCCATCTTTTTGTCAATAGCTGCAAGAGTCATGATGAACCTCCAGCATTCCTTTTTGATTACAAAATACAGGCCTACTTCAGAAGCCTGGATTATGCAATGCAACTAACTCCAAGCTGGAAAAAAAGAGAAAACAAGTGGTCGACAGACGAAAAAAATAAAATAAACGGGATACTATGCCCTTGTGTTTCAAAAACAACAGAGAAGTTGCCTTAAATCTTGCTTGTATAATCTCCACAGCTAGACAATGATCTTTGCTTGTAAAGACAACTCTCCCTTCTTTGTACAAAAGGAAACAACTTTGTTATCTTGCTAGTGTCAATGTATAGATGATCAGCTTTTTTTCTGTAACTTGTATGAACTGTCACATTTTTGCTAAGAAGAAAATCTCAATGTTCCTTAGTCCCTCTCCTCCCCAACATGCAATATGTGCGACGTTATGAACTCGTGGTGGACTGTCAATCTTTTTGTGTGCATTTTACGGTATTATTTATTGTCAACATGTTTTGAATTTGCAAATAATAGGAAAGAGACAGTTTGACATGAACCTGACCTTCAATTTTTAAACTGGAGGCATTGCTGATAAAAGGAGGACTTTTTATTATGACTTTGTACATAACATGTGGCCAAACTTGCTTTGGAGAAAAAAAGAACTAATTTTGTGTTGTAACAGTTATTGTTTAATTAAAGTGAATTACTCATGAAGAGAAATAAATAAGAGGCACACACAACGCTATTTCAGTCATTTTCTGTTCATTAGTGCACATAATTGTCATAAATTCAAGATTTTATAACATATTGTATATAGCTATGAATTTGAAAAAGAAGAGATGGGAAGAATCGGTACTGGGTGAATGAATATAAGAGACAAGGGAAAGTGAGCAACTTCATCCATTTCTTTTTGTTTGACTATTGTAGAAATTTTTAAACAATGGCCCCACCGAGAGGTAGCAATGGGGTATGGGACAAATTGCTGGCCCAATCCTTACAACGCTCTCGTCAGTTATTGTATTTTTTTTTTCTTTTTGTCATTTTACTCTTTTTAATGTTAAATGCTACACTGTCATCTTCCTATTAGACCCAACAAAATGGAACTCAAATTATGACGTTTGGTTTTACCACATTACCCCGACAGTAAATGAAAGACATTTATCTCAACTTTCTGGAGGCAGTTGGATTTTTTGACAATATAATTCGATTTATTATTAGATTTGAGGCATACATTTGTTTACAGATCAAGCTAAACACAGAAAATAAAAACTTCCTGTCAAGTTCAATATTCCTACCAAAACTAAAAATTATTTTCAAAGACAACAAAGTTTTAAGTCACTGAAGGATTTGTGATTATAAACAAATCTATCAAATCTGATGATTGACTCCATCAGAAGATGCAAAATTTTGCATCAGAAGATGCAGTCAATACATCACAAGTTGAACTTTTCAACTAACATCTCAATAAATACATACATAAATCATTATTTAATAATTATATAAAGAAAACAGAGACTAATCTGTGCTGAGTGTGAGTCAAAGGTCGAAATAAACTAATGGTTAAAATCCACAAATTGGCACAAAAGTCAAAAGTGAATGTTTTATTTGATGTCCTTTGACAACTCTGTGATTGAAAAAGTGAATGATGTGGTCTGCAGCACCCTCTTGTGGTGATAGACTATTAGAGTGTATTCTCAGGAAGAAGTTGAAAGAATGGCAAATTGCAAAAGAAACCAAATGCATTCATAATATTCATACATTTTTATTAATATGGGTCAACATATTTATGATCTTCTTTTTCTAAAGTCAGACCTTATTCAGAGTTTATTCAGTGACAGGCTAGCAGCCACCTACCACTCCACACGGCACTGCAAAATTATTTCTGGTTCAGTCAGAAGTCTATATCCACTCATTGTTAATTTATATACTGTTGAATACTAAGTTTTTAAAAATTAATTTGGTTATTATGACCTAAAACTAAAGAAACGTGGTCTGATTTAACCTCATACAGACATACTGTTCTCTTGTAATAGATGATGATGAAAATGTCACACTGTCAGACAATATTTGAGGAAGATATTTTTAGTCCATTATTAGTAATACTGTACAGGATGAAAACAGGTTCTGTGTTGAATAGACAAATGTGTTTTGCTGCAAAATGTGCATATTAACCGCAGACAATGCTAAAAGAGGTTGTGAAGATGTTGGTTAAAGCTGGTAAAAGAGTGTTATCATCATGTGGCCCAGGGCTGGCCGTAAGCAGAATATGATTTATGAAAATCATCACTGATAATTGGTTGTTATTTGCCGAGGTGTATTTGTGAAAAAACCCCAAAAAACTGAAGATCAAAAACAAAGATTAAATTTATATCATTTGATTGTAGCTATGGCAAAACAAAAAACAAAGTATAAAGTCTTTGCACTTTCACAAAATATGCTTGTCAGTTTGTTTGCATTTTAATTTTGAATGTTAAACATTTTAAAATCTTTTAATTTATTTATAGTGCAGCATCCATCCATTCTCCAACATGCTTATCCCTTGTGGAGTCACAAGGTGTGCATCTTCCTATCTCCAGCGGTCAAAGGGCAATTGGTGGGGTGCAACAGGGACAGATTAAATCAAATTCAAATCAATTCCCATTCTAAATGAACAAACGTTAAAATCTATGACTGAGTTAGATTAGATTAGATTTCAGACATTTTGAGGAGCCGAAGGTTTAGTAGTTGTTTGTTTCCTTGGGCCTTTTCCATGCATCTTTCTGTATATTCTCATCACCATTCAATTGATCAGTAATAACGTGACCACAATATTTGATCTGTTTATAAGAAAGTTTAAGAACTTCTCTAAAAATAATCTTTTTCGTTATTCTGGCATTTCGTTATTCTGGCATGAATAGTTATTCTAATCTATACTAATTAAACAGTAAAAAAAAAAAAAAAAAGAAAGCAAAAACGAGGCTCTGTTCTTATGCTACATTTAAATGTCTGGTCACGGTGAAATTAGCTTTAATCTGTTGTTTAAATTTCACAATGAGGAAACTGTTTCTGTTCGTTCTGCATTCTGTTAAGAGAGGCTCCAAACACTCCATTCATATTGGCGGACGGACCAAGGGGGCTTATGGGAAATTGAGTCCTTTTTTGCTTTGATGTCAGGGGGAGGAGAGACGCTTCGACTTCAGTGGATGCAAAGTGTGCTAGAAGGAGGGCTTCTCTCTACGGATAAGAGTCCAAACTTTCCTCCCCTGTGTGTCCATCCCTGTAGCCGTGTTGGAGTCGAGGAGAGGAGGAGGAGGAGGAGGAGGGAACAGGAGGAGGATAAACGAGAAAATGCTTGAAGAATTTCAGACAGGGAAGTGTTGTTTGCCAGAGAACGGACATAACAGCCGCTCTTCGGGCGACTTGTGACAGCCGCGCGGACAAACTGCGACTCGGAACGGCGTTGAATGGCGGAATTTTCTCCTAAAGTCGGGATTTCCAAGCGGTCGAAGCCCACAGAGGGAGGAAAGAAGCGAGGGGGAGGCGCTGAGAAAACGCCCTGCTGCCTGTTGCTATCTCCCAAATTCAAACTTTCAAACCGAGTTGAGGGGAAAATGCATCTTTCACTTAACGGGAGGTGAAAACGCAACACCGTTGTCGCATTGAAACAGTCGAAACTAGCTTAGCCGCAAGTTTTGGAGAATTCATTTTGGGAGTATTTCAGCCCATTTTTCCTGTACATTTTTTGGTCAGTATTCCAGTTGTTTGGAGTTATTTGGGTGGGCTGGGAGCCCACAGGCTGCTCCTCCAGGCCTCCGGCCGTTAGCCAGGAACAAAAGAGGGGCTCCCATGTAAACTCCACACAGTTCAGGGGGGAAACTTTCTTATTAATCCCAGAGAAGCTTTGTTTTAAGCAGCCATGTCGCTGGGCGCCGAGAAGAGGATGGAAAACCGGCTGAAGAGGCTGGAGGACATGATCAGAGACCCCAGATCAGCCATAAACCTGGAAAGTTTGCTGGTAAGTCTGCTTGGATGGTTTATTAATGATGGTGTCTGTAACCTAAGACACATATATCCTCACTTTTGGCAGTGAGCACCTCTGAGAAATCGGACACCTTGATGTAATGTTCACCTTTGATAAAGGCACGGTTAGAAGGAGGCTGTGGATGCACTTCAGACAGGCCTGATTAATAGTTAAGACGCAGAGCAGACAGTGCAGTTTGGGGCTCTTTGAAGCGTGTCTGCAGATTAGGATTAACTGCAGGAGAATGTCCCTCCAGGAGTGCTCTCTGGGACTAATATTTCCGACCAAAACTCCCGCCTGTACCCCTGTTATGTCTGCACATGAGGTTAACCGGTTGCACACTGTCTCACTGTTACCAAAGTTCTCCTTTGGAGCTCACTAGCCAAGCAGTTGTCAAAATATTCCATCAACAGCATATTTGTCACTGACATTATTTGTTTTGATAAAGGAATACACAAAATTGTAATTGTGACACCAAAATAAACAGTCTTTGGGTTCTAGAGTTGTACTTTTTGTGTGTGGACATAAAGAGGTGTGTGTTTATGCATACATGAATGGTTGTCATTTTAGTCTCTGACAGCCTGTCCAGTTGCATCCAGTGTCATCTAAAGATGGAAACCTTGAGCCCCTCTAAACATGGCATACTTGTTCCGTCTTTTTCTAGCTATCCTGTCATGAACTTTAACCTTTGAAATGTAATGTCTGTGAAGTATATCCTCACTTCTCTGAGCATTTCACACTCTGTCCTTGCTGGGACGACTGGCAAATGTGTTTCTCTTGCGGCCAGCATTTTTCTCTGGAGAATGATGCCATTCCAATAGTTTGTAAGAGTTTCTGGATTATTAAGTAGCAACAGTCGTTCCTCTGAGGCAGAGGTCTCAAACTTTAAGGGTTGGTGTCCTGCAAAATGTAGGCATGTCCCTGGTCCAACACTCTTCTTGCGTCCTCAGTATGGCGTCTGGTTCTACAGAGTCCTGCTCATGACCAGAGCCTGTTTTCTCAAAGATTCTTAGTCCTCAGAGAGATCCTATCTCAGCCTAAAAATTCCTGCCAAGGATTCATAGCTTATGTGTGATTCAATCAGCTACTGAGAGCAACTTTGAGCGAAGAGACGTCAGAAATTTCTGTGTTAGCGAGGAGGTATAGTTGACCCCATTGATAGGTGAGATGCTGTCTTTTAGGGACTGCGATTGGCTCTTCTAATCGATTGATTGGCAGTTGGAAAACAACGTAATAGGTTATTATTGCCTCCAACTGGTGAAATTACATTTAAAAGTGCAACATGTCCTGGTAGCTTTTATTTATTGAGTCTTTCTGAAAAAAAAAAAAGTCAATAAGTTCCAGTTTAGACTGAGATTAGCTGATACACAAAACAAAATAAGACACAAATATGCAAATGCCCCCAACCCAAGTAATCAGTTGATAGAAATGATCCAATCATTGAATCTGGGCTGGATTAAGAATGATCTGTTATGATGATGACTACTGAATGAATTGCCACACAGCATCAAAAAGCAATGTGTGCTGTTGACACAGATCTGTCCATTTGACAGAGAACATGTCTCCTTTCTGCCATCTTCCCTGTCATCTTAGTCCTCCTCAAATTTCCCAACATTTTGTCACTTTAGCAGCTCTTTAAAAAGCTTTTATTTTACAGATATAAAATTCTAAGGAAAATCTTAGAATAATAGAAATTCTATGATTTTTCATAAATTGAGATCACTAGGAACTGCTTTTAGT